ACCCGAGACCCCTTGCCCGGCAACCGCACTTGCGAACACTCGGCCAACGAGGCAGTGTAGTTTGTGTTGTAAATATAATAGCCTTTACCCGCAGTTTTGTCCGCAGTGAAAAATGAAAAGTCCACCTCCTTCGTATTTCCAACTACACGAGTATGTATGCAAAATTTGAAGAAGTTTGATTGATAAATTAAACCTTCAGAGATCTCTAACAAACTTTGGTAATTTCACATATTATTATTTAGAATTTTATGTTATTTCTGAGCCTATAACATATCAAAAATGAATCAGAACCACTTGCAGTAGTTAGGTCGTGATCTGCATAATGGTCAGGAGTGGCGCAATGCGAACGGTATTGCACTCACCACTACGAGAATTATAACTGATTTCGATATGCTAATGGCTTCACGCTATAAGCTATGTTTTGCGGATTTTCTCGAGATTTTCTTGATTATTTGAAGACTTCCTAGTTTATTGCAGATTGGTACTAGTAAGTGTCTGTAATGATTTTGTAAAAATGTAAGTCCGTTCGCATGTTTACAAAATCTAGAAAATAAGGGAAGCCTATTATTAGCCTTAATCTCTGTAATTCACGCAAACTATTGTAGGTAAACTATATGTAACGCTGTTGCTTTTCTAAATAAATAAAAAAAATAAAGTAATGATCTGTACCTCTACCGATTTTTTTAAACGTTGCCCCACGCAAGTGTATTTTCCTGTGTCGTGGGTGCGTTTATAAACTTACAATTTCACATGCACATGACACCCGAAACAACAATTTGTGGATCACACAAAGAGTTGCTCCATGCGAGAATCGAACCCGCTACACGTTGCAAGGCAACAAGATGCCCAGCTACCGCGCCAACCGTACAGTAAACATTATTTTATGATTATCATTAACAAAAAGAAACGTTTACCACTTTCCCAACCACTGATTTTCTTTTTAAAATTTGTAGGTAGGTGTGCCATGGTACGAACAGAACAGTGATAAATTAAAAAAAAACCTTAATGCAACCATAAACAGAACGGAACATAAAAAACAGCCACCTGCCCCAAACCATTAGGAAGCTGACGCCATTAAAAATGGATTTGTTCTTATATCTGTCGTTTCGGCGGGAAATCGGAATGTTTTCAATTACCAATAAATCGGCCTGTTCTCTCATTCTCTCTGTCTCCATTGGCCTATATTCTGTGGTCGTTCGACAATTATTTCAATTAACTGAGCTTCTGTTGTGGTTGTGAATTTAAAGAGGTTTTTTATTTGTTCATTTATTTTTGTATGACGTCATAATCTTACAAAGCTTGTGGTGTGACCTGATTAAATTCACTAGGTATTCGTTTTAAATCTTGGTCAGATATAATTACTTTTGTGTAGTTTATTTTAATGAACAATTAACCCTACTTTTTTAAACCTTTCATTATAAAATCTATCTATATCCACTTTACTTATTTCGAGACTCATATAAATAATTCAATAAGCACTTGACACATTTCGAAGCCAGTTTATAAGAAATAGATATTTATTAATACCACTGTCTCCGGGTATTTTATCTGGAACATCTTTATGGGAGAAATTTTCGTGAGAATTCTAATTAAATTTCTTGAAAGCAAGTCCCCGAGAATGGGACCCGAGATGCCTAAACTGCGGTGCTGCGTTGTAAGAAAAGAGCGGCGGAGTCAAAGGATCGTTATACAGAGATTTAGAATACTAGCTACTGTTGCGTGTATTCACCCCACAGAAATATTAGTGATTCACCCGCTACTCGGCTCCTATAGATCCTCGTATGAATGTTGAAGTTTAGAAGATCAACTATCATCATCATTTATCGGTCGGAATACGTCGACTCCTGTACAAAAATCAAATTTCAGTTAATTTAACATTTAGAAGATTATGCTTCGTACCCCATCCCATAAAGGCTGGTCCATAATAAACGGTTAATAAGTAGTTAAGTCTTTTAACTGTTGGAGACCTACTGAATGGCGACTGTCGCGCTCCTACTCGATGCGTCATCGTGTGTCGCCCAATGTCGCTCATGAATATGAGCCTCTGGATCGACTTGAAACTAGTCGAGTTCGTCATCAAACAGTTACGTTCCGTGACTGAGTAAGCAGAAAAACAAAATAATTTATTTATTTTAATCTTACGACTGCTTCTTTGGCCGTCTGCTTCTTCTTTGCCGGGTAAGGCGTCTCGGGTTTGATTCCCGGGTCGGGCAAAGTGTTACTGGGTTTTTTAAAATCATAGTAGTAGCACGGAGTCTGAAATAGTACCCGGTATATGGGAATAGGCTCACCCCTATTACATGGGACTCATAACATAAATAGCGAAAAATAAAATGGGTTTTACATTGTAAGTGCCATAATGTCCACCTCTGCCTATCCCTTCGGGGAAGAAAGGCGTGATGTTATGTTATTATGTTTAATCTTAGTGTACCGTCGTAAGTTTATAGCTTGGACTACAAAGTCGTTGTGTCTAATTTGTTGAGCGCACGATTTACGGAAGTCCACCTGCGAGGTAGCGGCAGTCTGTGGTAGCGGTCCACTTAATTTGACAATATTCATTCCTTAACATTTTTCTTGTACTGAAGCCCAATTTACGAGCAAAGCTACAATCCTGTTTTAAATAAACTGTTTATTTGCTATCTATTTTATTAATCACCTGCATTCTTTGGGATTTCTTATTCGATTCCTGAATTGAATCGATTTATGAGTTTGAAAATGTTACTTTAAGATTTTTTTTTTATTTAATAAAAATACAGTTGGTGGTAACACGAAATCTGGAATTGTATTGTGGAATATTGTAGTTGAGTTAAGTTAGATGGAGTCACTGCCTACTAGATGAGACTTGGTGCATAGCTAATGAAAACTTGCTGATAATATGACAAACATAAACGTGTTAACAGCTGCGCACTCTAGTGGGAAGAAAGGTGTAATTTTATATTATAAATTACCAACATATCTAATAAGTTTTAGGTACTTATTGTCTTATTGGTGGAATACATACAAGTGGAAATTTTAAACACCAGGTTTTGGCGGACTCGACAACTCAAGAAATTGGTTTTCGTAGAAATCTTCATTTATATAAGACTTATCTACCAAACAATCTTTAATTTTTTCTCTAGCAACCCTAAGAACCACTAATGCACCAGCAGGTAGTTACTATAAAAGCAGTAATTACCGCTCGACCTTTCCCCGGTTGCCGATGACAGTAAACTTTTAGAGCCACTAAAAATAATGGCCGGCCAAGTGAATCGATACCCGTCTACCTACAGCAAGACTCATCTTTTTCTACAAATCTTTCTACGACTTATAAAAAATATATTAACTCCAATTTATCATGTTGCATTTTTCTTACAGATTCATGTGATCTAATCACTATATGTTGGGGGATCTGTCCCAACTTACTATCGTGGTCTACTAACGCTGTGTCTAATATTACTAACGTTAATTGTATTTTGTAGAATAGAAATCTGCTCGTCTATGAACTGATGACCCTGGGTGATAAGTGATAACGCAGCTACTGAGAGCTCATTTGCATTTTCAAAAACTATTTACTCATAATTTGAAGACACTCAGATTGCCTCGTTGGCCAAGTGCGACTACCGGACAAGGGATCTCGGGTTCGATTCCCGGGTCGGGCAAAGTATTACTGGGTAATAAAATCTCAGTAGTAGCACGGAGTCTGGAAATGTGCCCGGTATATGGCAATAGGCTCACCCCCTATTACATGGGACTCATAACATAAATAGTAAAAGTGGGTGTTACTTCTCTGTGCACCTCTGCCTACCCCTTCGGGTATAAAAGGCGTGATGTTATGTAGAAGACACTCAGTTGACACCCTGCCTGAAACTAAATTCTGGCAAGAAGTTCCACTTAATAGTAACAAATAAGAAACCTGAAATAAAAACTTGCATTGTGTATCTAAATAAATTAACTAATTGCTTGCGTTAATTAGCCGTTGCGCTTTGTCAGCTGTCTAGTGGCCCCGTGGTTCCGTGGTATAATGATGGGAAGGATAAGCAGCAAAACGGGTAGACGAAAATTCGTCAACAAGTCGACAAGGAAATCCTTGTGATAAATTTTTGGACAAAACCTCAAAACAATTATAAAAAATCAATAACAATTAATCAAAAATCCATAAATAAATACACCAAAATTACTTTACTATAGGTTTTACTACAATAAAATAACAAAACGAAATTGCTGTTTGCTGAAGCTTCATCCGTTGTGATTCCACTGGTTGAGATAAATAAGTTTCTTTCGCGCAAAACTTGATTTAGTGCGGAGAGCTAGCAGACTCGAGACTCGGGCAGTCGCTCCGCAGTTAACTCGATTCCGTTTTATTGCACATTTACTGCTGCCTCGGTTACTTGTACCTTTTATATGTTATAGTAATAATCTCCACGGATACTTGAGTTGTAGGCACCTAGTGATGTAGTGTTGTACATAGGTAGGTATGTTTTATATAAAAAATAGTTCTATTGAAAATTAAACTACAGAATCTTATTTAAAATCTAGACGAAGCTTTGAACTCGGACAAAGTTTTAAAGCAAAGATTAAAAATACAAGAGTACCTTCACTAAATAGAATTTGATTTACAATAAAAATTATGAAACTTATTTCAAAACACGTCCCTTTCAGTTTGCATTTAACCGCAATAAAAATCCATTTTACTGACTTCATTGCACCCAAATTATCCCTTATTGAACGTTCTTTCCGTAGATGCGTAGTTCATGACATAGTTTAATAAGAATGTACTCTTTTGTACTATTTTTTACTACCGTTCATTTGCGTTCATTAATCAAAAGAATGCTAAAGGCCTGGTACTCAATATACACAAACAATCCTGATCACCTGACACATGACAGAATGTCAGTCACCTACGTCACTAATGTCATTGCGACATCACACGTAAAAGGAAAATCCGTAAACCATAATAATTTGTGCGAAACAGTTGTTTAAGCTCCAAAAAATAATAAAATACGGATATAAAACCTTAAAAAATGGCTTCAATACCGCTAATGTATGCTCAGGAAGATTGTGAGTTAGGAGGAAAGGAATCCATCGAGGTAAAGTAGACGTATTTATCTTTTTTAGTAGATGAAATGTCGTTCCGAATGTTTGTCCTTCGATTTAATAGGCTAAAATGTTAAACAAGTCACTTGTATAAACACGTTTGCGTCTAGAATGTATTCATGTGCTAATTCTTTTATTCCTTATGAAGCATAAATATATTTTTCTATGGTTGGCTTAAACAATTTATAATCAAGTCGTTGATTGTTTTACGATAGTACAATGCTAAGGCCATTGATAAGATAAAGCCTCAAATACGAAAATAAGTTCTCCATTAACTTACCATTGGTTGTGAAAGTTGTATCCATAATATTCATTAAAATACCTTGTAAATTGCAAAGGCTTTAGAAACACATTAACATATTGATCTAAATCTCCATTTTGTGTGCTCAGCTGGTATTTACCTACAATAAAGAAATTAAGAATTACATTAGGTATTACTCATTTCAATGGTCATCATGGTCAATAAGTGACATTGTTTACTTTTGTGACATCAATTATTAGGTATAAGTATTTTAACAATCTTTTCTACAGCTTTTTATTAATTATTTTTCCGTTTCCAGTATGTAGATATGAAACAATTAATTCAATTTAAATCATAACCAAATATTAACTTGCTTAATTACATTAACAATTAACCTTCCTAGTTATTAATTGACATTTATATTTTTACAGGATGATTTCGCCTACCGCAACAATGTGGCCAATGCAGATAAAGAGATCCGTCTGGGATTTGTCCGCAAAGTGTACGGTTTACTCTCAGTGCAACTGTTGGCTACGGTTGCTATTGCTGGAACATTCCATCTTGTTGAACCCGTCAAGGTCTTCATACACCAAAAGTAAGTACTATCTTATACAGTTCAGATTCACCTAAGAATAGCTTAATTTTAACAACACTTTTTACGTACTTTCAACAGTGTTACATTCCTTAATGTTAATATTGGGTCCTAAATAAGTTATGCACTAATGTTGCATGTAGATCATAAAAACGAATAATAGTTTAGATCATAAATAGTACTTCCTCCTTTTTTTGAAGTCGGTAAAAATATAAAATCTCCATAATAAAGATTTCATTAGAATGCTACAGTAACAATAATGGTGGAAACAGTTTATCCTTGAAATTATTAGTTCTTGTATTATTTCTGGGGTTTTTCTGTCACAATCTTAATGACTCATGGCTTATAAAATATACAAAAAAGTACTGATAATAAGGAATTACAATATCTAAATAATATTTATATGCTTTTTCTTGTCTCACGATATTTCCGTCCTTGTCTAGCCCTTTTCTAAATGCTATAAAGTACAGAAGGAAAACATTATACCAGAATCATTATCCTTGAATTTGAAATGAAATGTTGTACGTACTTACTTGTTTTTCCCCTTTTGCTGTTGACTTGAATAAACTTACCAAACTAGTACATATACATGTATTTGGTCAATTTTAATTAACAATATGAACCATTTTCGATTTATTGACGTAATAGTTTTAATTCTTATTAGGTACCAATAATTACGTACTCCACAAATAATTCTATATCATCACTACATAGTATAAAACAAAGTCGCTATCCGCCGTCTGTCCCTATGTATGCTTAGATCTTTAAAACTACGCAATGGATTTTGATGCGGTTTTTTTAATAGATAAGGTTATTCTTAAGGAAGGTTTATAGGTATAATAAATGCATATTGCACCCGAGCGAAACCGGGGCGGGTCACTAGTTAAGAAATATATGAGCAATCAAATCTTTATAATCAACTTATAGAATACTTCTATATAACTTCATCAGAATAAGATAGTTTGGTCATGTACCAAGACAGGCACAATAATAATTTTAAGAGAGAGTATTTAAATGAAATGAATAGAGAATTTAGTAAAGGAAACCTTAGATAAACGCTAAAAGGGCCTATTATACAAGGGCGCGAACTGTATTATCCCTAAGGCAAATTAAGCAAGTGCCGGGCGCCAGGTTACAGAGGGTACCGTGAAACACGTGTGCCCAACAACCCATAGAGTGGCCCGCCGCTCCGCCACTCTGTAGCAAAAATAAATTCCGGGCGCCTATGTTTTCCTAGGGCGCTGGGCGCTTTCTAGGTTTAATGTGCCTCTGAAAAGGGCCAAATCAAAACTATTGAGTAAGGGGCTAGAAATTCTAATAAAAAACATTGTATTCTTGTAAATAATTATTTACTTGCACATACTTTTATGAAAGGTAAGAACAACAACGCAACGAAACAAACACATAGTGCCACCTAGCAGAATTATTCAAAACTAAAAAACTGTAAAGCAGCCAGTGTTATATTTTATTAATTCAATAAAAACTAAAACCGATTAGTCTTCTATATCCGAGTTGAATATATTGAGTGTCCCCAATATCCGATTTAGAGGCTTTACTTTCCTAGCCGACTCCTTTTTACAATCCAGAAATTACAAAAACATGTGTATCACCTTAAAAGTAATAAACTTGTTTGTTTTAGTGACTGGATGGTGATAATAGCGTTTATACTGAGCATGGTCACGCTATTCGCACTCATCGCTAAAAGAAGGGACTCGCCCGCTAACCTCTACCTGCTAGCAGCTTTTGTAAGTATTTTATTTTACTTAAAATTAAAAATATTGATCTGAGTAAGTACTAATACTCCGATCAGCCCCTAAGAGACAGGAGCAGTATATACTTTCAACTTTTAATGACCTATCTGCGATCCTTAGTAGCTTGCTAGTAGCTTGCCAAGCGATGGGCTGGGTTGGGATTAGTGGGAGTATTTTAAAGCGCTCAAAACGCCATCAAACCACCACGGATGGGGCCCAATAGGGCTGATGCGGATTCGGAGTCGCGGAGAACCTAACGGAGTACCGGGGCTCCGGCTCGAAGTGCAGGAGAAGGAACGGGGTGTTTTTTAGTCAGTAAGAGTCTGACATTCCCTCCCGCCTCACCCAGGTGGGAGCAGTCATTCGATGATTTACCCTCCTTAAAAAAAGTGGGGGTATTTAAATTAGGCCTGTAAATGATAAACATTTTCGCTCAACTTGTAAATATGAATAACTTAATTGGCAGTAAATTTGGACCAAAAACAAACTTGTAATTCAATATGGTCGCATTTGTAACCCTCTCATCATAGTTAGAAGTAAACCTTTATACAGCAGTGTTCGTATTCCAGCTGATAATGACCTAACTTTTCCAGACGGTGGTACAAGCGTACTCAGTGGGCGTGGTGGTGTCGTACTACAACACGGCCGTGGTGCTACAAGCCCTGACTCTGACCTTCGCAGTGGTCTTCTCCCTCACAGTCTTTACACTCAACACAAAGACCGACTTCTCTTTCATCGGTTATGGGTGAGTTTTCTACTTATAATTACTCTCAATTAACTCGTCGAGTACCGGTTTTATAGACACAATTAAAGAACAATAGGTCGCGGTCACCGGTGACCGCTTGGTGTTTGACAGTTTAATGACCGTAAACAGTTCGTAAAATTAATTGTATGTCAAAGAATTTGTATTTGTACACAACTAATTTCTTACTCAAGAGCGTTTACGTAGCGCGGTTTTTTATACAAACTTGCTAATCCCAATTTAGGAAAATTAAAGTAAGTTTCATTAAAATTGGTTTATTACTTTCCTATTTGAACTTTCTACGGAAACTCGCGCCGCGTTCATACTCTTTCAGTTAAAGTGTATTTCAGAGAAAATGAAAAATCTAACTATAAATTATGTTTTTCAGTTTATTCGCTGGTCTTATGGTGCTCATCATAGGCGGTATCCTACAACTGTTCATCCAAAGCTCAGGGTTCGAAATTGCCCTGTCCTTCGTCGGTGCTATCTTGTTCAGCCTCTTCCTTATATTCGACACACAGATGATGATGACGACCTTGTCTCCAGAAGAGTACATACTGGCCACTATCAACCTGTATCTTGACATCATCAACCTCTTCCTCTACATACTCCGAATCCTTAACGAGTTGAACAGGAATTAAATTCCAATACCTATGTAGCATTTTCTTTTATATATTTAGAGCATTTTATTGCACGTTATATTCTTGATGTCTTGTGAACGGCTGTGAATATAAAATTTATATATTTTTTATTTTCTATTAATTTGCAGTATTTTTAATTAAGTTTTCTGGCTTCATTTCTCTGCCGGGTGGTCAGAATTTGTAATTCACGGACCAAATGAAATTGAAAGTATAGTCCCTGAACTTGTTGCATGTAAAATTATGACAAGCGTAACTAGTGAAGACGTCTTAACGATGCAATAATTTTCTTAAAACAGTATTAAATACTGACAATGTTTATTTTTTTTTATTGTCTATACTTAAATGAAATTGTGTACCACAATATTTATTACGTTGGTTGAATTCATGTGCTATGTAAACAATTGTTAGTATTGAATATGTCTTGTGATAGTAACTGTATGTGGACACGGCACTAATTTGACTTTATCAGCATCTAACATCGTGGAGCACAACTGTTGAAACATAAATTATATTATTATTAAATTGATTTTAATTATGTACCTCATTTATTTTATTTTGTCATTGAATCCTTCGTGTTAAAGGTAATTTAGAAAGTGCAGAATGTATTGCAGCAAGTTCCTTAACTAACTAATTTTGCTTTGTTTTATATATGCTTGTCGCAACTAACTGAATTTTGAAAAGCTTTTATCTAGTATCCGACACGTGGATTGTACACATTGATACATGAAGATCTTAGCACGAAATATAAGAACTTTTCTCAGTATATTTACGTGAGTAACCCGCGATTTTAGTCCATATATACAAAAATGAAACCCGTTTACCGTGGTCACGCCATAACTTGAGAACGGCTTGACCGATTTGGCTGATCTTTTTTTTGTTGTGTTTGTTATTGTCAGAAGGTTCTTACGACAGAAAAAATCCTGAAAATCTTACGGGAATGGGAGAAAACGGGACTGCGCGTACGAAGTCGCGGGCAGAAGGTGGTTAATAATTAATAATAAAAATGAAACGAAACTTAATATTTTGCGAAATGCAACAATATATTTTACAAGAAACATTATTCATACATCACAATAAACATAACCTTTAAAGTTTCACAAAATATTTACATTGGAACCAAGTATGACAAGGTGTATATACTTTTGACCAGGATAATGAACAATCACCAATGACTGTACAGGGTAAAACAGAAACTATAGTTTCTTGATAAATGTACAAACGACAAAATTTAAGCTTGACCCACTTCGACGATAAATTGTTATGAAGCGTCCAGTTTCAATGCGATGTGGCAGCGAGAGATGCATTCACACCAAGACCTAAGTATATTTATGCAAATGTCGATCTAACTGTATTGAAAGAAAATAAGCTTATGCTTATATAGTGGACCATAATTCCAATTTGTCGATTGTACAAGCAAATAATTATTTTATTAAATAGATCAGTGCATAGTTATATAGTCGAAATTAGGCCAACTATAGTATAAGAACTTGTAAAACGAGGCCAATAGAGACAAATATTGCAAATACAATTTATATTGATGAGTGTACAGCTCTTACAGGGACAAATTTGGAAATACATAGGTGTAAATAATTGTAATCATATTTATTAGCTTTTATTTATAGACCTTTATAAAAATCAATGCCTGCCAATTTGTCTCTATTCACCCAGATTACTCTACTTGCTTGTTTATAAAAATGAATTCATTATATTTCAGCATTAAAAAGTTTAAATAAAATTACAAGTATCATTGAAATGCTCACAATGTGGTTAAAATTTTGTTTCGATAAAAACTTAAAATATTCGTTGGTCATGCTACCTTATACACCATAACTAAAATTGTATGAAAAATTTTGATCTGTAACGAATCTGTTTAGATTTAAGAGGAATACAAAAAACATAGATTACACTGCCATCTAACGTGATATCTTCCACAGCATCAACAATTCGAAAACTTAGAGGTGAATAAGATCCATTCACCCCTCTTCTATCCCTATTGACCTCTCAATCCCTATTCACTGCATTTTACCGTTACCCATTTTCTTGAATTTAATAAATTACTATTAAATCTAACTCATTCAAATCATTTTGGCAGAAATAAATCAGATATCCTATTTTATGAGGTGCATACGAGCAAATGGATCACTGTATGATAAGCAATCAACGCCGACTATGAAACTGAAGGACAGTAGACACACACCAAAAGAGCTATAGGTGGGTTGCCAGCCTTTTTTGAGTAGGAGAATAGGACCTTTTTAAGGTCAAGTTGAAGTTTCACAACCTTCTTACACACCATACTAGGTTATACTACATTTACTTCCTCATAAAGAGCTATAGTATCCAGTGAATCACACTTCTGAACTTCATGTAATCTAAATTAACTAAAAATCGCGGTTTACTCACGTGAATATACTGAAAAAAGCTCTACTAGTTTCGAAACAGAAGGGCTCTTCTTCATGAGCAGCGTGCGTGGTCGCGGCTATGTCGCGCAGCCTACTCGGCTAGCGTTGGCGCTCGCATCGGTGTTGCTACTTGCGCATCTAGCCCAACGCGCCCTCTGTCGGACACCACGAGCATTTGCTTGCACGCTGCTCATGAAGAAGAACCCATGTGTGGTTCGAAACGATTTTTAGTTAATTTAGTATGTTTCATATAATGTGTGAATTTAAAATCACAGAAATTGATATCATCAGCAATCACCTCGATGATGTAAAGGCCACTCTTCAAAGGAATTTGCCATTTACAAATTGAAAGATTTTAATACAATCAATACGTGGGTCATAAATGTGATTAGTTCATAGTACTTGCATAAATCTTACCAACAATCTGTGATGTACAACTTAAGAACAGTCATCATTTTTCATGGTTTCTGCGGTTATATCAATGTCATTCACTGACGGTTCAGTCTCTTTACTGGCTGAGTGTATTTCTAAATGGATTTTCATACTATCTGGGTCTTCATCACCTTTGTTTGTTACTTCTAATTGTACATCACTTTCACTTTCATTGATATTCTTATCACTGTCTACATTCGCATCACTCTCATTTTGAACATCACCTACTGTTTCACTTGACTCAAATAGTTTTTGTAATTCATTTTCAACACTAAGTTTTTGTTTTTCTTCATTGGAATCTTGCCTATTACTATCCAATTCCTTCATTTCAACATCTTCATTCATTATTTCTGATTGTCCTTTTGTGTCCTGTTCGTTTTGTCCTTCTGTTAATTGGTCTTCTCCTATTTCTGAATTATCTTGTGAGTTGTCTATTGTGTTGTCTTGTTCTTGTATGTTCTCTTGGTTTTCTGTTGACAATGGTGGATCTACTTCTGCTTCCAGTTCATCTATCGTGTCTCCATCTTCGAAGTCTTTCAATATGTCATCTACTGCTGGTCTGAAATGTTTAGAATTTATGAACATTAATTACCTATACACTTTCTATATTCCATGTTTTTTGTGTTTTAATAAGATGGGGTTTGGCTATCGAGACGTCTCGTGATAAGCGATAATGTAACTGATGATGGAGTATTCTACTCCTAGTCATCCTTACTAATATTATAAATCGGAAAGTTAGTTTGTTTGTTTGTTTGTTCCGCTTTCACGCCGTAACTACTAAACCGATTGCTTTGAAATTTTGCAGACGTAAAGTTAGAAGTCCGGATTAAATAATAGGGTACTTTTTATCCCGGAAAATTTTTATATTCCCGAGGGAAAACAAAAGAATTGGTATAGATGGCGCTATGTGTATTGGTATATGTCACATAGGCTACTTTTTATCCTTTTGTTACAAATATAAACGCAAATCAAGTTACGAAAACTTTCATTTTCTTGAATGCTAAAAAGCTCAAATATGAAATATCCTTTATAACTCACCTTTTCACATCTTCTAAAGTTTTAAGCTTCTGTACAGAGTTGGAGACGGTAGCTTTACACCGCTTGCGATGGCGAGTGAGCAGTGGGAACGAGTCGAACTTCCTCGAACAGGCGTAACATGCATACTTATTGTGGCAGGTCTCATGTACCATCAGATCTGTGGACGTTGAGAAACCTGGAATGTGAAATAACATAATTAGATTGATGAATGCGAATATGTATGTCTGTTTGTTCGTTTTTTAGTTTTTCAGCTTTATTCGAATCAGTGCCTTTAGCCAAACGCCACTTTACCGCTTGTCTACAGAAAGAGAAGACAACTAAATGTATAGTGATGACACTGACATGTGTCAAAATTTAGGTCAATTCCATATATTATAATTTGGTTTTCTATTCTACATGTAGACAAGCGCTAAATGGCATTTGGCTACAGCTGCAGAATACAAAAAAGACAAAGATGACCATCTTTTAGTAGAAATTCACAAGGACAAAGCAAGTTAATACAAGATACAAGTCAGCCACAGTAATGTGGTTTTCTACACAATACAGCTAACATTCTCCAGCCGGCCTGCCAAGTATAGGGATTATGGCAAATACTAGGAAAGTTTTTGTTGTGCAGTTAATAATGATGGCCATCAAATATAAATAGAGAATAATGTTCAAATAAAATGAAACCTGCCTGTATGACAAATGCCACATCTGTATTTATCAAAACGTTTCTTCTCGGGCGAGACACTGCCGTCCGATTTCCTTTTCACAGACTTGTAGGAATGATGGGCTATCACGTGCGCCTAGAATAAAGTATTAGAATAAATTTACAAAGAGAAAAAACCTTAACTTTATAAAATATGATCTTTTTTCTAAGGGAAAATTAAATAAATAGCGAAAATATTACGTCGTTACCAAATTCTATACCACCGTACTTAGGAAATGTTTAAAAAAAATGTATAATCTACATTTCAACATAATTAAATCCACATACAAGACTAGATAATTAATTATTCGAGAAGTAGTTCTGACCTTAAGTCCAGTGACACTGTGGAATGGCTTGGCACAGAGCATGCACTCAAGAGGCAGGTCCGGTGCCAGCTCCAACTCCTGCTCCCCTTCACTAGGGGGCTCTTGTTTCACCGTCATTTCTATGAACTGGTAATAAAAGCATTAATTAAAATAATCCTGCCAACCCGCATTGAGCAAGCGTGGTTTAATTAATGCTCAAACGTTCTCCGTGTTAGTGTTAGGTATGATGATTATGATGATGTAAAAAAAACAGTGATAAAAAAAGGGAAAAATAAAATAAAATTATTATATATATACCAAATACATTCTAAAAGTTTGTATTACGTTTAAAGTAATCGAAACGAAACCGCGTTCGGCATTCTGATTGGTTGGATCATTGGAGCCGGCCAATCAGAGCTACGATCGCGTACTATTGATATTTCTACATTTTCATCTCATTGGAACCCAGTGTGAAACAATGATTCCATTGTGTTTCCTCGTGTGTGTACGACGACGTGTTTACGATTGTGTGTGTGAGATTACCGGAGGCCCAACCTTCTCCATATCCAATCTCTAAAAGACTGACACCGCGTTTATAAATCCTCTAGTGTTGCGGGTGTCCACGGGCGGCCTTGCACTAAGGCCTCTGATGTTACTTTGTGAAAAACCACATTCAAACTTATTATGTAAACTATTGATTTATTGATACTTACTTCATTTGTTTCCTGTGTTAAAGTGTGTGGTCCGTTCATAAGTTCTCTGTTCTCAGAGTTCAATGGATCTAGTGATATTGTACCTGTAATAAAATAGTTTCAATAATCAGATTTTATTCCTAGATTACATTATGAGCTTGATCATTAGACATAAATAAAACATCGAATTGTTTGAAGTGTATGAAAGATACACTTGGTTGGACTATTACAAATACATCATTTAATGAAAACAAATAGTGGACATTTAACAACACTATCATGCTCCTCCATAGACATAAAATAACCATCTGGTGTAGCTAGACAATATTTTTAATAGAGTATTAACCTTTTTGTAATGACACTAGAAATAGTTTTCTATGGTATTTGTGAGATTAGACTTAATAATCTCTTAATTGTTTAGTGGTAACAATTTATTTTAAATTGAAAAAACAACCTAGACATTAATTATTAAGTTTTCATCTTACTCACGTAACTGTTTGACGAGGTACTCAACTAGTTTAAAGCCATGCTCGACATAAGTAGCAGTGCGACAGTCACTGCGTCGCAGGTCTTGGAATGCTGCTCATGAATATGAGCATCTAGCATGGCTTGATACTGGTCGAGTACCTCGTCAAACATTTTCTGTATTTTTTTTTTGTCGATTATTGATGTATAATTTCTATGACTAATTATTTGATTGCTCTATGAATGTGAAAAGATATTTTTGACTCGTACCTACATATATTGACTGATTGTGAATTTCATTAATACGTACAATGGTTGAGATATACCCAATATTTGCATGCCCAACGGGTAGAACAAAGAGATACAATATGTAACAAAAATAAATAACACCTTAGGCACTAATTATGTACTACACCTCTGTTCAGCAAATAAATACATTTGATTTTGATTTGATTTGATTTGAAACAGTGAGTAAGATGAAAACTTAATAATTAATGTCTAGTTCGTCAAACAGTTACATGAGTAAGCTGAAAACATAATGATTAATTTATTATGTCTTATGAAAGTTTTAATTTAAACCTAGATATAATTAGAGAAACAAAAAACTCACCATTTATAGTGATATTCAGAGGTGGGGGTTCCACAAACTCTTCGGGTTCAATTTTAATATCCAAATTGGCTAGTTCAGTCTCAACATATGGGTTTTCTGGTCCATTAACAGGATATTCATCATCCGTTACCACTTCCTGCTTGATTTCAACATCCATTGGATTACTATATACAGAACCGTTTAAGTTTTTATCCACTTGAATGGGTTTCGGCCATACTTTCTCCATATCTATCTCCGCTGTGAACCTCATTCGGAGTACCAGGTCACAGTTCCTCACTGCAGCTGCAAATATTGCTGCATCTCGTAACTTATGGTAACATGGTTCACATAGGACTTTTGTGTGTCTGTCTGTCTGTGATACCTGTAGTGGTAAAGTAGAATATATTAATTTCCGGTTTTTTAATACCTTGCCAACAATACAATTTAATACAACATGAGAGTATAGAGAGATACTCATTTATTTCTATTGGACATCCAAAAAAAAAAAAAATGGACAGGGGATTATTTTTTACATTTTGACAGTCATCAAATTGTAACGTAACAAGACTACTTGATATACTATAACATAAAGATACCCACTAATCATAACTTTTATACAACGTTTTTTATCCTAATAACCTCATTTACCCATTTCTAGATAAATTAATTACTGATACAGTTTGCTTACTAACCTCAATGTTGGCTAATTTAGCCAAATCATCGGCAATGGTGGGCTCCATACCTTTCCAGGGTAGAGCCCACGGCTGGAATACATTGCAAACACTTTGTTTATCATTTAACTTCTTCAAACAAGCCCGACATTCCTGTAACACCTTCTCTTCTTTTTCCTCCGGTGGATCTTTACCGCTTGCATTATTGTTCATTATCTGCCTAACATAGCACGGATAATGAATTAGTTCTCACTTAAAACAATAAAAATGTAAACAACAAAGTAATGAGATCGCGTGAGCTTTAATTGTCAATTTTTAATGACAGTTCTGACGTATAGTTTTTGCCATAGGAATAGATTACAAAAAATCACACATCTAAGTATTATTCTAGCGATTTTCTTCACTATTCTTTATTAATTACGTCACAAATGTTACTTATTAATCTTCAACTAGAATCACTTACGTTTTTTAGAGCGATGACTCAATAAAATATTTTTTTTTGCCTAAAATACAGATCAAACATAAAACCAACACTCGTCTCTTCACAAAAGAGAACTGCTATTCCTCGCAAGTCTATTTATTGCCTATGGTCACGTCATGAACGGTGACAGATGACAGAAGCGTAATGTCAACAGGGTGAACAGTAAACCAAGGAGGCTCAATTGTGTTGCAAGACTAAATAATATCACAAATATTTCAGACTCCAAAGATCAAGCAAAATGTATATATGCCAGAGAGATTTAAGCGTGTCGTAATGCGTCGTGGCGCGTCAGAAGTATGTCGGTTTCATACATTAGATATTTGGTTTCATACATTTACTGTGGTTAGAGACAAACTTTTATGTCGTAGCGTGTCACGTAGGTCGCTAAACACTTGCAGTCGATTAATGGCCACGGTGCCACGACGTGCCACGACACTTTAGTTTGAATCCGTCTTTAATCTTTTCTCTAGTTATTATAATTACGAATCCTATTTCATAGGGGATGAGTACAGTAATAAATCTAGCTATATGTCTATATAGTATTCTAAGGTTTCAATACTTACTTCTGAAAACAACTTCTTTTAACTGGGCTAGGGACAAACTTTTTGACACAGTTGTGTTTTATATCGGCGCCTTTTTTAGGTAGATTACGAGAGGGCACTGCATTATGTTTCAATACACGCTCAGAATTTTCTGAAACAATTCTAAACATTAGGTATAAATGCTATGATACACAAATCTATGAGATACCAAATGTACAATATGTATAACATACTTGACTGAATAAAATCCAGTTTGGTGAAGTGTTGACTGCACGCAATCAAAGATTTAACATAAGAGTAGGTAACATTGAAAGCTTCGGCCCATTCATTTCTCACGGCTGGGTTATTGGGGCAAAGATGTAAAGATATTTCACTGGAAACTTCTCCTTTACACTGTGGTACTGTACATTTGGACCGTTTCGCCCTGAAAATTAATTACACATTAGTATAACTTGTATCAAATACAAAAATTTTGCAATTTACAACTGTAACATTAATACAGAGAAAAGCTCTACTAGTAGGCTGCGCGACATCGCTGCGACCGCGACTGCTTATGAGGAAGAACCCCTCTGTGGTTCGAAAGTAGTAGAGCTTTTCTCAGTATATTCACGTGAGTAACCCGCGATTTTTTTATTGTATGTCTCACGATAGCTATTATAAAAATGTAAAATTATGCTGTATTACTCACAAGAAAGCTTTTTTGTTCCTTAACCTCTGCGACTTGTCTCGAAATGATGTATTTCCTCCTTGAGATTCATTCTCTGGTTGGACTGGATTTGTTGTGTTTTCATGTATACCCTTAATTTCTTCCTTTACCTTCATTTCCGGTTCTGTAAATTCATTTAGAAAATAACACATTGCTTTATTTAATAAAATATTGGAAATATTTAATAAATACAACAAATGAATTTGTTTTTATAACTTTTTATTTTACAGATAAAACTGCATATAAATAACAATTAACTTATTGCAGATAATTTTATTATATTATAGAAACAGTAACTGTGTGTGATTGTAAATGTGGGATCTCATCTCCATAAACGATTCATACAAACTGCTTACAGTCAGTCTATACGAAATATTCTTCAGATTACTAGGACTTTAATTTTGTATGTCAGTATTCAGTAACAAACAAGTGGTACAATTTATATCTACTCACAAGTCTCACTTTTAAAATCCACCGGAACACTTAGATGAGGGACAGAACTAAAACATACTATTTATACAATCATAATTACAACAAATATCACTGTAGGCTATTATCAGAAAAATTAATCAACCTTGATTAATATCTATATAATTTTATTTATAATTATAATCTATATTATTAAATTATAACTATCTAGCTATAAAGGCACTCAAAAGATGTAAAACATTTTTACCAAGATCCACATTAGAAACAAGAGATGTATGATCATCACTAGAGTCACTATTCTGCCAACAAGGCATTGGCACTGCTTTTCCAATCAACTTGCATCTCTCGTACCCTTCACTAAAATCATGATGCTGAAAATGCATCACGCAGATGTATCTGTGCCTTAGGGTCTCCTTCGGTAGCGATTTCAAGAGTGCATTCCCTGAAAATGAATTTTATTTACAATTTGATTTATCTAAGAATTAAATGGGTATACAATCAGCAATCTTATACTATTATATAAAGCAGAAGAGTTTGTTTTTTTGTTTGTTTGTTTGAATGCGCTAATCTCTGTAACTACAAGTCTGATTTGAATAATTATTTTTGTGTTAGATAGCGCATTTATCGAGGATCGCTATAGGCTATAAAGTATCATGCTACGATCAATAGGAGCTGAGCAGAGCGTGTGATACCTCGCAGAAGTAGCTAGTCATGAATAATGCTTCAAGATTTATCATCATATCACCATCGAACCTCTAGCAGTTTTAATATAAAGGGGTTCGGAAAAGAGTTAAATAATCGGAAGAATTGGAGGTGCACTGTACAACAGTGAACAGATTGTATATTAGACAATTAAAACATTTACTGTGGCAAAACCCTGGCAAAACTGACAGCAAAAGCTACCGTGTAATAAGCGCCTTACAGGTCATTTTCAAGGCAAATAAACAAGATATCTATAATAATATGCGAATCGGAACATACCTGAATTCGAAATCCACTTTTGTAGTCGATCTGGATCATCCACCGGAAAGCGAAAGGCTGGCAAACCGTCATCACTTGTGTTTTGGCACATATAATAATAACACTTACGTTTTTGCGGCATTGTATAACTAAACACCAAGAACAGCGTTAACTTATTAAACGTTGTTTATGTCACAAATGCATTGAGATTCAATTTGATCATGTTTAACCAACTATTATTTAGATAACTAACAATAAGTTCCAGATCGAGTACAAACAATAATAAAACCCAAAAGACGACAATGCGTAGATCAATGACATTTATTTGACAATTGACATATCAGCGATGACATAAAAAACAAAAATTGCCACTCGCATAAATCATCCCGTTTATTAATTAGTTTTGTATAACGTGCCGCATGTTTTAGTCCATTTTATTTATTTTGTTGTTATAAAGAAAAGCAATAAATAAACTAATTGAGCAGTAGGGTGATCATGATTTCAAAAAGAATTCAGAATTACAGAAACAGCCTTTTAATATTTTAATAATCTGTAGTAGGTAGTCTGGATTTCAGTCTCACGGCTTGCCACGAGGGTCGCTGCGATCGAGGACATGAATCAGCATGTGTTTATTTTCCTCTTCTCTCATAGCAACGAAATGTCAAAATACAATATAAAATCATGTTCTAGTATTATTAATCCTTTTTATTCGACTGTGTTACTCATGTTATTATTTGTTTATTTATTTATGTAATAACCACAGAAAATAAAGTTTGCCCTCAGCCTCAAACCATAATGAAGTCTTTCGTATTTGTCCCAATTTTTAATTTCGATCTTTATTCACTTGATTATTTTTTTTTTATGGAATTGGAGGCACTTGATATCTTCACTGTATCATCATGAAAGAAACTTTTATACATTTCTGACCACTTAGGTAATAAGAATTGAACATCCAATTATCCAATAGATATGAAGTTGCTGTGAAGGGTAAGAAGCTTGAATAGAAATTACGACTTATTTACATTACAATGAAAACAAGTTCTTAACAGTTGCTGCCAATATTAAAAGGAACGATCCGTCTTGAACATAGTATTAGAAGCGTATTGAAAAATACAACATTTTTTTTCTTTAGGCCCTAACATTTATGTCTCAAAACCATTGGTATAGTTATGATCGATATTATTATGTCACTTAAAATTACATTGCCGAATATAATTGTTTGAACGGTTTATAGAAACCAATGTATATCATTGGTATAAAAATAATGTTAGAATAATAATATCATTATAATCAATGATGCCTTTACAAAGGGTAAAATCAAGATTAAAAATTTAACTTACTTGCAATGTTAGGCTCAGTTTTACACTTAATCTTTGTTCTGAGTTCTTTATTCCTATGTTCAAAAATTGACGGAACAGCTGTTTTCTTCAAACATCTGTGGTAAGGTGGCGCCCCTAGAAGTTAATAAATTGACATTAAGACGGTTGTCCTAAATTCCTGTTTGTACTTATCGAGTCTGATTTGGAACTCTTAAACGTCATATTATTTGGAAATGAAATCAGTTCTTACCTGTGGTTGAACATACTTCAACATAATCACTCGGCTTAAAATGTTCAGCACATAACCTTGAATGTTTCGAAGCTATGAATTTGTCTTTACCCGTAGCTGTCTCCCATAATTTTCGGAAGCTAGGGTCTTTTGGAAACGAATGTGACCCCATGTTACGGCAACCTGCCGCTGAACATCGCGGCATGATTAACAAACAAGTATTTTTCAAAGAATGTTATGAATTTTGGTTTTCGGGCTCAAGCGTATACAACGCTACCAAGCGGCAGAATCACAACTTGACAGACTGGCCACATAAAAATAGGAAGTCGTTTGATGGAAACATAGAGGGCAGCACTAATAGATAACAGTAACTTACACAACTAATAGTACCTAACTTACATCCGACTTCAAAGCTATAAAAAAGGAGAAGTGGCGATATTTTTTTCCATACTAATTTATGATTTTATTGCTGTCTATTGACATTTTGACATGTTGATCAAAAAAAAGTTATTTTTATTTGCAGTCAGTCGTCGTCGTTTATTGTCTATGGTGTATAATGGTGTCAAACTTTATGATCTATCAATGTCAATATCACGAAAATGTGCATGAGCATGTGCACCACATTGTTTTGAAGTTGTGGCCTGTGGTTTTGGGTTGTGCTGAGTGTATCTTACAAGTTATAACTAAAAATAATGGAAGAAACTACACCTACAGTCAGCTTAATATCATGTATGCACTTTGTGCGTCGCGGAGTGGCGAAAACAGTGCCGGAAAAAGTATTTAATTTTTAGTCAGTAATTTTTAACTCATTTCGTGGTCCCATAAGCAAGATTTTAAGGTTTATGTATTTTATTCCAGATTGAATTAACGGAGAAAGAATTGGAGAAAATTATCAAACAAACTGCTGATGATTTGCGGTATGTATTGTTTCTTTAAATCTTCACTGATTATGAAGCTATGTGTACAGATTTTATGTTGTGAAATCGTTTGTAATATTTTGTCTGTCTGTCGGTTCTCTTTCCGTGTCCTGTGTAGTGACTTTATAACACGATCTGTTTCCTGTGATAAACTTCCATGTATTTTAGAAAACATTAGTCATTACCTGGCCACATTCTTTATTAAGATGTATTAAATTATAAACATAAAATATAAACTTGACCTGCACATCAATTTTATTTGTCATCTATACATATAATAATATCGTAGGAAGGTGCAAACTATACATTGATTATGTTTTTAAAAGAATGCTTGAGCCATGATCTACAAACAGCAACGAAGCTATTAAATATTATGACTTTAGATTTTTTGTTTGTTTGTCTGTATGTATGTCCGGGTTAAAGTCACTAAGTACTACATGGATTTACTTCAAATTTTTGCATGAATATTACTAATAGGTTGGGTCAACATATAGGCTACATATTACCACGCTATCACCTATGGGGGAAGAGCTGTGAATCACTATGCACGTGAACGCAGTTGTGGGCAACTGGCTAATTAATATTATTATTCCATCATTAATTTTTCCATCATTAAACTTATAAATTGTATACAAAACCTGTAAAGTTTATTTCAACTAAGCTTGCTTTCCCTAATTCATGCTAAACAAGTGATATTCAACCTTTTCAAATTCTTACAGGATAGCAGAAGCAGGTGAAGATGAGAGTGATGACGAGGGAGAAGCAAGCGCTGCCCCAAGAGATCCACCAGCAGATCCTAATGACGAGTTCAACTTTGAAAAATATGATGAGGAAGATAATAGTAAGTATTTTTCATTAAATTTTTCAAACTTCATACCGCCTAACAAATTTTTTCTATCCTGTAAAACCTTCCCTTGACTTTCACTAAATATTTCAAGATAGAAGAGAAGATATTTATGTAAATTATTATTTAATATTCATTTTCTTTGTTTCAGTTAACCCTGTCGGTATTGGTACCGTAGCTACATTACCAAATTTGGGCGACTTAAGTGAAGGAGTACAGATAAGGGTAAGTCGCCACACTATAGTGTATATTAATAAGATACTTATCCACACTTCTGTTAAAAACCCAAAGTACCTGGCAATCTTATAGCCATGTGTTGGCCCTGATTAATTAGAATTTGAAATAAACCAATAACAATTTTCTTGATTGTAGAATATATTTTTAGATGCTCAATATTCATAATCATTAACAAGCCATGAGAGTCTACAGCTGGCTGGACTATCACCCGAATACTGAAACGCTACTCAACTTTAACTCACGCTTAAGTATAGTTCTGTCGCTACAAATTCTTTGTAAAATGACAGAGATCGTACAATATTTAAATACAACTTAAAATTGAGTAATGTTTCAGTATTCGGGCATATGAGCCTCCTCTTCCTCACCAAAAGAGATGTTTGCATGTCCAAAAACCTATTTGGCAATTGAATTAATATTATTTATTTTGTTATTTACAGACAGAGGGACCAGATAGTGATGAAGAGGATGATATCATCAAACCGAATGATAATCTCCTTTTAGTCGGGCATGTAGAGAGTGACGCCAGCGTCTTAGAAGTATACAGTAAGTACTTACTTATAGACTACATAAGTTTCTATTGAATTTTTAACCGACTTCCAAAAAAGGTGGAGGTTATCATTCTTTTTTTTTATCTCGCCTGATGGTAAGCGATTAGTGTAAAATGCTGTTTAAGGCAACTTCAAACATACAAAAAAAAAACAACTGTCAAAATGGAGGGACCATTCTTATAATATTCTGCATGATTTGAGGATTCCTATCGAGTATAATAAAATAATTTTATCACGCATCGCACCACCAGCGAGATAGTGGTCAAATGTCGGCCCATAAAATACATATACGTGCGCGTGACCAATAATATAACTCTCCATGCATTGCATAATGACACCCAAAAGTGTTCGCCATATGGCTGTACGTAGACGCGCACCACTGCTTACGTGTATGCGTACTGTTACGAGAGTCTTTCAGGATTTCTTTAAAAAAAAAACTATTTTTATATTTAAACTGTTTTAATCAATTAAAAGGACAGAATATACAACCGTTCCGTTTGGACATTTAATTCAGACTGAGGGGTCTTGCCTGCAACCTTACACGCTAAGATTTACCTTATCTATAATAGCTAACTTAACTATAATAACTAACTTCCGCGCGGTTGCACCCGCTCTGCTCGGCTCCTATTTACCGTAGCGTGATGGTTTGTAGCCTATAACCTTCCTCGATAAATGCACTATCCAACACAACAAGAATTATTGAAATCGGATCTATAGTTCCGGAGATTAGCGCGTTCAAACAAACAAACAAACTCTTCAGCTTTATATAATAGTATAAGATAAGATAATGATGACAATGCAGGTTTATGTCATCCCAGCATAAACCCTTACATGTCAGGGATATAACAGTACGCATCCGTCTGCTCAAGCCTTAAAAAGCGTAATATACGAACTTCGACTTTAATGCAATAGAAAAAAGGCAGATAACAATACAAAAAACTTGTTATACTTTTCAGTATACAACAAGGAAGAGGATTCATTCTACGTGCACCATGATATTATTCTCCCGTGGTTCCCTCTGTGTATTGAGTGGCTGAGTCATGACCCTACTGATCCTAACCCTGGTAAGTCCTGTTTATTAACTAACCTAGTTGGAGTGACAATATCCTCAAGAATTAGATATGAAGATCTGAAGAAAATTCAGTGATATGTGGTAGTGGTTTTAATATTAACAATAAACGTAACATCATGCCTTTTATCCCCAAAGGGGTAGGCAGGGCACTTAATGCCACTGTACAATGTAACACCCACTTTTCACTATTCATGTTATGAATCCCATGTATTAGTGGGTGAGCTTATAGCTATATACCGGGCACAATTCCAGACTCCGCTACTATTGAGGTTTTTTTTAAAAACCCAGTAATACCCCGCCAGTGCACTTGCGACCACTCTGCCAGCGAGGCAGTCAAAAACCTTTAAATGAAGATGTGGATTTATGTATGGTATGTATGTGTTCTAGGCAATCTCTGTGCCCTCGGTGGTATGGACCCAGTTATCCAAGTGTGGGACTTAGACATCGAGAACTGTCTGGAGCCAGCCTTCAAGTTAGGTAAGAAACCTAATAAAAAGAAGAAAACTAAACGAGTCGGACACAAGGATGCTGTACTAGATCTATCGTGGAACAGGAATTTTACGTGAGTATTAAAAAAATATGTAATTGCCCCAATTTTTGTACTGATAACATTATCGTTAAAAATAAAAAAAACGCAATAACAACATGTAGAATTAACCATAGCTTGTGGTGCAATATGGCAAAAGCGTTGAAATATTTGTGTAAATCCCATATTTAGTTATATCTGTAGGTACATAGGTTTTAAAGAAACAGAAGACCAATAATTTTGATAATCATAATTTTTTATCCTACAAAATTCTTCCTGTTGGCTTGTTTCTGAATCAGAATCAGAATCAGAATATTTTTATTTGTAAACATAGGTATGTGAGGTGTTACAGGTAGGCAGATTCTCCATGTTTTGCCCAGAGGCGTACAAATATTATATATAATTAAAATGATTTAACATTGTCATCATTCAAAAATTAATTGACACTTGTAATTGTAAATTAAATTGAAACCGATTAAGTAACATGTCATACAATACTAATGCCAAATAAATGTAGTGGTCATGTTAATAACTTGTCAATACTACCTACACAACAGTTATCATATTGTTGTATTTCCAGACATGTGCTAGCAAGTGGATCAGCTGATAACACAGTGTTATTATGGGACTTGGATCAAGGCACACCACACACAAAAATCGACTGCTTCCAGGATAAGGTATATTTTCTTAATAAGACATTGCCTTTTTTTAAGGGGTAAAATCATCGAATTACTTCTCCCGCCTGGGTGAGGCGGGAGGGAGTGTCAGACTCTTACTGACTAAAAACCACCCCGTTTCTTCTCCTGCACTTCGAGCCGGAGCCCCGGTAACCCGTTAGTTTCTCAGCGGCTCCGTAAAGACATTGCCCCTACACTTGGATTTTCTAGTGCTGTGCGCTTACACTGTATGAATAGTGTGAGACAGTGTACATTAAAGAGTATTAAAATTTATTATTTACTAGCTTTTACTCGCGGCTTCGCTCGCGTCACAAAAGGATAAAAAGTAGCCTATGTGACATAATAACGATATGCACAGCGCCATCTATAACAATACTTTTGTTTTCCCTCGGGAATATCAATTTTTCCGGGATAAAAGTACCCTATTATTTAATCCAGACTTCTAACATTACGTCTGCAAAAATTCAAAGCAATCGGTTTAGTAGTTACGGCGTAAAAGCGGAACAAACAAACAAACTCACTTTCCGATTTATAATATTAGTAAGGATTGTGAGTTTGAGGGAGGAGATGTTCAGTAGTTTCCCTTGACTGATATTTTATTATGATGATTATATTCACAGGTACAATCACTAGCGTTCCACCCCCTGGAGGCTCAGACGTTAGTGAGTGGTTCATGCGACGGGTTCGCGCGCGTGTCGGACTGCCGCGCGGCCGACGCGCACCGAGCGTGGAGCCTCGCGCCTGAGATAGAACGAGTCGTGTGGAACTCACAGAACCCATTCTGTTTTGCTGTAAGTATCTATCTAGTAGCTGACCCCGCGACTTTGTCCGCGTAGAATAATCACTTCTGGCAGAATTCAGGCTTTTGAATTAGTTTTTAATTTTTATCAGGGGATATTTATGAATGTCGTCAGAATTGATACAGTCCCGTAAGTAATATATATCCTATTATTATCCTATACGTTGACCCGACTTGCTAGTAATATACATGCAAAATTTGAAGTAAATCCATGCAGTACATTTTGAGATCATTCCGGACATACATACAGACAAACAGACAAAAATTCTAAAAACCATATTTTTATACACAAAAAATACTCCATATGTTTCGCGACCCTCAATCGATTCCGAAACACCCACAAGGCATTTGGATAATGGGCAACATAATATCACATCTTATTACTCTTTTTTTTGAGATTAAAATCATCCAATGCCTTTCCCATCTTGGGTTTTTTTTAAAGGGGGAAAATCATCGAATGACTTCTCCCGCCTGGGTAAGGCAGAAGTGAATGTCAGACTCATACTGACTAAAAACCACCCCGTTGTTTCTCCTGCGCTTCGAGCCGGAGCCCCGGTAACCCGTTAGTTTCTCCGCGACTCCCACCTTGGGTGAGGCGAGGAGTGTTACTTTTACTGACTAAAAACCACCCCGTTGCTACTCCTGCTTTCATCCCGGTAACCCGTTAGGTTGTCTATAGCTCCAGGATCTTTCATGCTACTGAGACCTACAGTACATATTAAAATACGCTGTCTTCTAGTAAACATGTTTGTTCAACAGATGAGTAACAACCAAGGCAAGGTAGCGTACGTAGACTGCAGGAACGATGAGCCGCTGTGGACGATAGACGCGCACGAGAAGGAAGTCACCGGACTCATACTGAGCGACCGAGTGCCCGGACTCATGGTCACCGTCAGCACCGACGAGAAACTCAAGACTTGGGATATTTCTGGGTAAGAATATATGTATTTCTATGTTTTCGTCTTACAGGAAACCAGTGTGATAATATAATGATTGCATTGTGTGTACCACGTGTTTATGATTGTGTGTGTGTGTGTGTGAGAAGTTACCGGAGGGCCATTTTTTTTTAAATATTTGGTTTGCCAATATTTGACCACTATCACGCCGCTAGTAAGCGATGATATGATATGAACCTTCCCCATATCGAATCTCTAAGACTTATACCGCGCTTGTAACTCCTCTAGTGTTACGAGTGTCCACGCGTGGCGCCGGTTGCTTACCATTAAGCAATCCATGATCAAAAATGTGGTTTTTGTTTGTCTTGTGCTGTAGAATATATTTGTCATCACATTCTTCTTGTGGACGTCAGAGGAGACTGCCTGAATGAACACAGTATTCTCTGATCAACATGAACCTGTTAAATTGTAGATTCCCGAAGCTGGTTGTGAAGCGTGGAGGCTGGTGTATTGATATTGACTGCTGATGTTCCCTATCTATTATAATTCTTATTTTTACAACAATTACGCCCGAATACCGAAAGGCTACTAAATTTTAAGTCGTAAATAAGTGCCGTCCCTGTCATTTTACAAAGAATTTGTAGTGACAGAACTATACTTAAGCATGACTTAAAATACGGCGTGTGAGTATTTCTTAGTTAATATATGCAATAATAATAATAATAATAACTAGAGGTGTTCGTCAATGTCATTAAAAAAGCACATAATTGGAAGACTCCAGGCACTGACCATATCCATAATTACTTCTATAAGAAATTGACTTACCTTCACCCATCAATCTATAAACACATTAATAATTTCATTAAAAACCCTCATTCTATACCAAAATTTGTTACACAAGGCCTGACATACATGATCCCTAAAGATTCTGACTGCATGAACCCATCTAAATACAGACCCATAACATGCTTACAGACTATTTACAAATTAACTACTGGTTGCCTCTCAGAAATCATCTATAAACACATAACACAAAATAATATCTTAGCAGAAGAACAAAAAGGATGTCGCAAATTCAGTCAAGGATGTAAAGAACAGTTGACAATAGATACCATAGCCATGAAACATAACGTTAAATTAAAAAATGACATATGCACCATGTACGTCGACTATCAGAAGGCGTTCGATTCAGTCCCTCATAGTTGGCTACTGTACGTACTGCAACACTATAAAATTCACCCAATTATTGTACATTTCTTAACTATAACCATAAAACACTGGAGTACTAGAATAAAAGTAGGCAAATTGGTAGAAACGGACCCCATTCCTATCAAACGAGGCATTTTTCAGGGAGATGCCCTAAGCCCTCTCTGGTTCTGTCTCGCCCTAAACCCCCTATCCAATCTTCTCAATTCATCAGAAAATGGTCTCACCATTCAGGAGAACCACAACTCGAGCTTAAAGTTAACGCATTTAATGTTTATGGATGATATCAAACTCTATAGCAGTAATATATCAGGTCTCCACTCACTCGCAGATCTTACACAGACTTTCTCAGATGATTAAACATGTCATTCGGTATAGATAAATGCAAAACTTTCACACTTCGAAAAGGGCAGCATGTAGAAATAACCCGTATACTCTAGAACCTGGACAGATAATAGAACCTATGACATTACACTGTACTTACAAATATCTAGGATTTGAACAATCACACCAAATTGACCAGAAACATACGAAAATAAAATAATCAGTAAATACAAACACAGACTCAGCATGTTAATAAGATCACAACTTACATCACGCAACCTAATTAGATCTATAAACACATTTGCCATTCCCGTACTTACTTATTCGTTCGGGATTATAAACTGGACCAAAACAGAACTCACCAAACTACAGCGATTAATTAATACATGCTTAACCACTAACAGAAAACACCACCCTCGATCCTGTGTACAACGGCTAACGCTACCAAGAGATGACGGAGGACGAGGTCTCATAGACATAACAAATCTGCATAACCAACAAATAGTTAATTTAAGAAAATTCTTCTTGCAAAAAGCTCAACAGTCCCCCTACACAAAACAATATCACAAATAGATAAAAAGTACACTCCACTCAATTTACACTCCACCGGTCCACAAACAAACGAGTCCATAACTAGTAAATCAGAAAAGATAGCAGTCTGGGCACATAAATCTCTCCATGGAAGACATCGCCTCGACCTGCAGCAACCTCATGTTGACATAAAAGCGTCAACGCGTGGCTGCGGCGAGGTGAACTCTTCCCTGAAACGGAGGGATTTATGATTGCCATTCAAGACCAGGTTATTGATACAGCTAATTATCAGAAATTCATAGTACGCAGACCCAACTACAACGACTCCTGCAGGCGCTGCCACGGTGCGTCAGAGGACCATCCAACACATCACTGGCGCCTGCAGGTCCATAGCCCAAACTGATTATAAACACCGCCACGATCAAGTTGCTGCAATAATCCACCAAACCTAGCCATCCAAACCAAATTAATCACAGAGAAAACAGCATATTATAAATATAAACCACAACCAGTATTAGAGAACGAGAATTTCAAACTGTACTGGGACAGAACAATTATCACTGACAAAACAATTTACAACAATAGACCGGATATAACAATGCTAGATAAACGAAACAAATTAGTATATATAATAGATATAGCCATATGCAATACTCATAATCTAATAAGCACACATTCCGAAAAAATTGCGAAATATACTGACCTATCAATAGAACTCAAAACACAATGGAACATCACCCACACCAAAACTATACCTATCATTTTGTCCACCACAGGGGTCATCCCAAAAACTCTCCACAATAGCTTAAAGTCTTTAAATATTAGCCCAGCAACTTATCTTCTTCTACAAAAAGCAGTAATTTTGAATACGTGCCGCCTAACCCGAAAGTTCTTAAATTCATAGTTTTATCACAATTTTATTTACGCACTTGGCTTTGGCCCGTGCTTTAGAACCCCACTAAGATGGGAGAAACATAAAATATGACAAGAAATAATAATAATAATAATAATAAGTTTATTTAGCAAAAAGTTACAGAAATGTACATACATAAGTAGACATAACAAGTGGGTAGACTAATTCTAGGCATTACAATTTGTTGTAAAGATTTCTGTACAGAATTATAGTAACCCTGCCTCTTAAACTAGGATATCCTGTATTTTAAGAGACAGTGTCCAGCTTATAAATTTACATTTTTATACAACAGTGGACGGTGTCGATCTACCGTTTAAACTTGACAGCAGTAATAGTTGTGAGTGTACGAGTAGAATGTGGAGTGGATGTGTAGTGGTGTGATGTGGTATCTGTTAGTTGTGGTTTTGTGTATGTGAATATAGGGGTGAGTGTGTGTGGATGTATGTGTGAATATTTTTGTAGTGTACGGTACGGTTACATTTAGGCGATGTAAGTAAGTAAAGACTCCGTGTATGAGTAGTCTTTCTGTAGTAGCCACTCTGTTATTGTTTGTTTTAATGTGTGTGAGTTTAAATCTATAATTTTTAGATGTTTGTGAACTTTTTTGTAGATGTGACCACTTAGGGTATAAAACTGGCGTTTAGCGAAAGAAGTTTTGTGCTGAGTACCCGGGATAACACACGTTCGTTTGTTTGGATCGGACTTAGGAAGACTGGTATGTTTTTTAAGAATCGATTTAACCACAAAGAGTTGGCGAACCGAAAGGACTCTGCAATCAGAGTACAGTTCAATAGTTGGATATCTATATGGTTTGCTCATCATGACTTTTAGAATCGCTCTCTGTGCTCTCTCAACTTTCAGAACGATAGCCTTTGCTGCACCACCCCAAACCGAGATACAATAACCAATTACCGATTGACACAGAGCGTAATACACGAGTTTCAAAGTTTCAGCGTTAGCCGACTGTCTGAGAGACCTGAAGACATGTATCAGGCGCATCGTTCTGGAAGTGAGGGCATCAATTTGTTTGTCCCATCTCAAACCGCTGTCTATCTGCACCCCCAAATACTTCACATTGTCAGTTCTAATGAGCGCCGGGCATGTACATATAGGTCTTAAGGTGTTTGAGCATGTATGAGCAGTTAGATTAAAAGTATTTGGCGGTGCGGAGTTACGACGTATAGCAAAGGGAATGTAGGTGGTTTTTTGAAGGTTAAGTGTTAGTAGATTTGAGTTGAGCCACTCCATTATCTCAGCCAGAACCATTTCTGCTTTTGCTCTGACTATATCCCACGTAAGTCCCTGCACGAGAATAGCAGTATCATCTGCATACGCATATATATTACAGTCTGTGAGACACATTTTGCACAGATCGTTGACGTAAATAAGGAATAATGTTGGGCCCAGGATACTTCCTTGAGGAACGCCATATGTCACTGATTCCTCATCGCTAAGGTGCGTATCAATTTTGACACATTGCGTACGATTTCTGAGATAGTCTTTAAGAATGTGTAGTAATACGCCTCGTACACCGATAAGCTCCAATTTAGAGATAAGTAAGGGAATAGAAACTGTGTCAAATGCCTTGGAAAGGTCTAGGAAAATACCTAGGCATTTTTTCCCCTGGTCCAAACACTCAGCAACTGTCTGCGTGAGATTCAGTACAGCATCTTCTGTTGACAGCCCAGGTTGGAAACCATACTGATTGTCAGCAATGATCCGGTTTTTGTTAAGAAAGCCACGCAAACACCTACTAAGAAATCTTTTCAAGAATTTTCGATAGCGCAGGCAGAACAGATATTGGCCTGTAATTATTGACACAGTTCCTACTCCCCGCCTTGTAGATAGGGTGAACGATTGCCCTTTTCAGGGCATCGGGAAAAACTCCAGTCTGTAGGCAACGGTTGCAGAGGTAGGTTAGTGGCTGAAGCAATGGATGTCGGCAGCTTTTTAGAATAGAAGATGGTATTCCATCCCAACCTACAGCACAGTCATTTCTTAATTGAAGGATAATTGATTCCACCTCAGCCTCGTCAACGTCCAGAACGGCAGGAGAATTTAAAGTAGAGCATTGAGCGATGTTCCCGATAAAAGGAGCCTTACTACCATGAGAGGGTGACCGACCTAGGTTCCGTGTTATGATGTCTGCTGCCAGGTTTCTCCCATTGTACCAAAAAAGTGACATACTTCGTTAACGGAGGATTTTGGATTTTCACGTATTTCCAACAGCTCAGAAGGACTGACATGCGTTTTACATGTATTTGTTATTTGTTTTATTGTTTTCCACAATTTTTTCGGGTTCTTTCTAGCTTTTTCTAGTTCGCTCTGCTCATACGCAATTTTTAATTTTTTAAGTAAGTCATTGCAAAAATTTCGGTACCGAACGTAGGTAGTTTTCAGAATCAGGTTGTCTGGTGTCTTTTTTAAATTCATGTGCATTTTGTCTCGATTTTGTATACATTTTAGCAAACCAGGTGTCATCCATGGTTTAATAATCCTTTTTTTTCTTGGAATTTTTATTAACTGCGAATGTTTTGATATGGCTGATTTTATTATATTTATGAATTCATTCATGCATGCATTTGCGTCATCTAATTGGTATATACTTGCAAAATCCACCCCTTTTAACTCCGACATAACAGCTTCGTGATTTATACGAGTGCTGTAGTAACAGGTTTTCCGTTGCGGGTTGGCTTTTGCAATATTAAGTAGAACGGGTTTATGATCTGTTATGAACGAATCCAACACAATTGTAGTTGATGAAAGCTTAGATTTTAGCAGTATGTGGTCTAAACAATGTTCTAACCTAGTGGAAAAAAGATGGGTTGGCATGAGGCCGTGAGAAGCATTTAGAGTTAAGTAGTCAAAACAACGGACATCCCTGTTTTCTGGTCCAATATCAATATTTAAGTCACCTACAATGGCGATATTAGGGCATGAAGACAGGCCGTCATAGACATTATTTAGGCTAGTCATGAAATTGTCGAAACTGTCCTTTGCATTTAGTGATGGAGAGCGGTACACAGCGACCACGGCAAGGTTTTTGTCTATTTGACATACGAGGCAATTTCCACCCTTAAATTCCGGTTCCCACACGTAGCTATGTAGGTTCAGCTTCGTATAAATCATGACGCCATCGTTTTGATTTGTATTGATACCTGTCGAGTGCGACACAAAGCCATCCAATACTGGTAGATAAGTAGCTTTACTAAGCCAACATTCGGTTAAGACGACAATGTCAAAGTCAATTTTAGTTGAACTTAGTAGCACTTGGAGCTGGCTAAAGTTTTTGTTCACACTACGTATGTTTATATGTAACAGGGTAATATTGCCATTAGCTATATTGAAATATTTTAAACATTCCTCTGGACTACAGACAAAAGAATCAAAATTTATTTGGTCTAGCTCGTCATTTATATTATTTATGTTAGCCATTTGGAATTAGCAGCATGACCAAAAAGTGGAATAGACATATGTATGTGACTAGTTAGGTTATGTTTGGAGCCTAAATGAATTGTGCATTGTTCTATGGAGATTAGATATGTAGTTGTGTGTGTGTCATAGTCAAGAAGTATATTGTATTTTGAGTTTTGTGTTTTTTTGTGGAGTATGTCTGAAAGAATGTGAGGTGATGATTGGTAACCTCTTATGTGTTTAGAGTAGAGAAAGATAATTATTTTAAATTTATACATTACTGAAAGAGACAACAAAAATAGTCAAATGTTTGTGTTTCCAAGATCCTGAAGACATTTTTCGGAATGGATTATAATTTGTTTGTCTCCTTCTTGTTTGCGCAGAAAAACATTACCGTTTGATATCCAGCAGTATTTGTAGGCTTTACTTTTAGCAAACTCTCGAGCTTGATAAAACAGCTTTTTAGTAGTAGCGGGGAGTTGCTCGGCGATGTAGAACGGCTGGGGTTTACCTTGTATACCGATGAGTGAGGTGTTCAATTTTTCCTCCTTCCCTTTTCCTTTATTAAACAATCGAGTAGCAGATATAATTTCCTGTTTTGTTTGTACCTTTGTGAACTCAGCAATAACCGGGCGCGGAGCGGTAGGACTGATAGATTTGCCAGGAAGCCGATAAATATCACGAATATCTGATTCCGGGATAGGCAGGCCAACCACGTTTCCAATCTTACACACCGTTTTCATCAGGCTGGTAAAGGATTCGGAATTTTCCTGTGGGATATTTCGGATTTCAATCGCAGACGAGCGTGACTTGTGTTGTAGATCTAGTATCTTTTTTTCCAGATTCTCAATGTAATTTTGTTGTATCCGGCGATCTTGTCTTAATTCCCCGATCTCTTTTTTCATATCTTCAAATTGTGAATTCATAAAGGACATTGATTTCATGATCTCTTCATTAGTCTCTCGTATTTGAGCATTGGACGCCTTAATTTGATTATTTTGGCTTTTAATTTCTGCAATATCCCTCAGTAATGAAGCCATCAGGGTAGTCTGTTCAGCCAAGGTACACGATATATCTTGATTACATTGCAATGAAGAAAATTCATACCGTAAAACGGGGTACCTTTGAAGGGATGAATATAGATATTGGGAAATTGTTCTAGTAGTACCCTGCAATTCTACTTCCCCTATCATTTTGTACTAGCGACCCATCCAGGCGTGCAATATGCATGTATTATACATAAACCTTCATTAAGAATCACTCTATCTATTAAAAAAATCGCATCAAAATCCGTTGCGTAGTTTTAAAGATCTAAGCATACATAGGGACAAACAGACGGCGGATAGCGACTTTATTTAATACTATACTAGCAAACCCGGCGAACTCCGTTTTGCCACCAAATGGCTTCGTTTTATGTCACATTTCGTTTGGTGATAAAAAGATGAACAATTTTTTTTATATTTTATAAACGTCACGGAGCTCGAGACCTTTCCAACGAATGCAAAACCGTGGAAATCGGTTCGTGCGTTCTGGAGTTATAGCGTCAGGAAGGAAAACCCGACTTATTTTTATATAGTAGATATAGTAATACTAATAATGTTGTGTATCTGTGGTATACTCTATGGTCATATATAGTCTATGGTGATAGTTTATCTATGTGCGTGGCGGAGCCCGCGGATTTTGTAAAAGAATTGAATGTGAATAAAGGTGTGTGTCGATAGCCTTCTCTCTTTTACTGATATTTCGTTTGATTAAATAACATATATAACAAATAAGATATTATTGTATGTTTCAGTGCGTGTCCGCAGCAAGTGAGCGAGCGCGCGTGTCGCGTGGGGCAGGCGCTGTGCGCGGCGCTGTGTCCCGACGCGGCCTACTGCGTCGCCGTCGGCGGGGACAACAAGCAGAACTACATCGAACTCGTCGACCTCACTATCAGTGAACAATGTAACTTGCTTTATATATATTAACTAAAATTTTAATTAGATTGTGTGAGTAAAAACTGAAACTCTAACGAATCAACAAACATACATACACCTGGTTTCTGACAGCAAAAATGAACTAACCGATTGTTACTGCCGAGTCTGCTGACCAATCACCAATAAATAAAGATTCTAAATGTTAAATCTGTACTATATGTATGGTATATACTAAATAATATAAAACAGAGGCCTTAGTACAAGTTTGTTTTACGTTTAAAGTAATAGTAACGAGTACTCGCTCGGCGCACTGATTGGCCGGCGCCATTAAACCAACCAATCAGAGCGCCGAACGCGAACTAAGGCCTCTGAAGAGGTTAAACGCGCTAATCTCCACTGGTTCAAATTGAACTTTGTGTTCGATAGCGCATTTTCCGAGAAAGGCTATATCTTTATATATATAATTCTTCTGTGAGTGTGTATGTCACTGAACTTTCTCAAACCACTGGACCGATTTTGATGAAATTTTTTGTGTGTGTTCAAGGGGATCTGGGAATGGTTTAGATTTACAAATCAGCCCGGCAGATGGTGCTGCAGTCGATGTTTAGGTTATTTATCCTACTAATTTGAATGATCTCTCTCGTTGGTCGAGTGGTCGTAATTGCGACTGCCGAGCAAGGGGTCTCGGGTTCGATTCCCGGGTCGGGCAACGTATTACTGGGTTTTTAAAAAAATTCTCAGTAGTAGCACGGAGTCTGGAACTGTGCCCGGTATATGGCAATAGGCTCACCCCCTATTACATGGGACTCATAACATAAATAGTGAAAAGTGGGTGTTACATTGTACAGTGGTATAATGTGCACCTCTGCCTACCCCTTCGAGGATAAAAGGCGTGATGTTATGTATGTATGTAATTTGAATGAATTTTTGTTTATACATTCAAGTAGATATGCAGCACAACGTCTGTTGGGTCCGCTAGTAGTATATATAATACATCACGCCACGGGCTGCGATCAATAGGAACTAGGGTGATACTAGCTATTATTCTATAATAATATTAATAATTGACTTTGATAAACTTCAATTTGTTTGTTGCAGTTGACAGTCGTTTTTCGTCACGGCCCTTGATCACACCACCCTCTGCGCCCACTGAAGATGCTATGGAGACATAGAAATGTATATATTTATATAAATAAACCTATAAAGTGTTATATTTGAGTTTTTATTTTATGTTTGTAGAGTTTAGTTGAATGCATTTGTTATTGGTAACATGGTAGGGTTGGCCCTACCCTACCCGAGTCCTGAGTGAACTAAAGGACTACAAAGACAGAGACTGGGTAGCAGCACTGTCACATATCTTATGCTGAACATTATATACTGTGATCTTCAACCCGCCTGAGAGTGGACAAAATATAATGCCCATCTTATAAAGGATGCTAAAAATGAAAGAGACCAAAGAGATTATAGCTATTAACTATTGTTGCGAGTTTCATTCGTCCAAAGAGTTAAAATATTCACTATAACATGAACAAAAAAGTTTTCCATATTTTATCCCATACCCAAAGAGAAATTAAAAAAACAAAATAGTGACGGTCTGTGTTGCTATCAAAGGTATTTTATTTACAATTATTAATAATAATAATACATAAAATTTGAATGTACGTCCATCCCATCACCCGTATAACAACACATACCGTGGCATCGGCGATCCACTACAATTTGGAGCGCGCATCACTGAAAAGAAATGACCAAATTACAGGAAAAATAAAATAAAACAATATTATAACAACTGAGATTATGTATTTGCAACATATTCTAGAATAATCCTAGATAAAAGTCGTAAAAGCAATGAATATTATATGTAATGTAACTAAAAGCATTGTAATACTGCGATTCTGGTATTGATTTTGTTAGTAGTGGCCCAAATGTACCATAATACATCTAACAAGATTTGCACTTCAAAACATTGTATATTAAGACCATAATTGTTAAAATAATTTCAAAAATTCAAATCACAGCCAAATAAATTGGTTAGATAAAATGCTCTTACAAAAATATTTTTCGTGTGACAAAACACGATTTAATTTTTATTATTGCTGTACTTCTTAAATTCTGCGATATTTGTTTATAGAATTGCCAATGTTGCGATTGAGAAAACACTTTTTGTACATGGCAACTCTGATTTTTTTTTAATTCAAGCAATAATTGTATCAATCGTAGAATTATTTATTGAACAGGATAAATAATATCTGTAGCTTGTATTATTTTAATTCTATTTATTACAACAACAAAAAATGCATATCGAACGTAATTTAAAATAAATATTGAAATGCAAAATTAATAACACATTTTATTTAAAAAGTAGTTTTGTAAAATTTGTTCTTATCTATGCTCTGGTTTAATGTAGAGTAATGAATCTATGCCTATTCGTTGTAAAAATCATCAACACATATGGACATGCCTTAGAGATGAAAATTGTGGCACTCCGAAAGAAAGAGAGGAAACGATGTTTCGGTTTATCTTATCTCTCCCAAAATAGTACCGTAGTTAAGACGTTATGAGCGAGAAAGAGATTGCGCTAGACCAAAGCATAGGCCGTCTCTCACTCTTTTCAAACCAAAAAATTACTGCAGATTATACGCGTACGGCGGCATGTCCATTAGTATGTCGATGGTAAAAATAAAGTAAATAGGGCAGTTACCCTGATGATTGCCTTTAGCTGTGAAAACATTTTAAACGGTATTACTTAGCTTTCTTTTTTTTAGGGCCAAAATAAGTATTGTAATTTGACCTCCATCCTGACGATAGATCGATCTGATATATGGTACACACTCCTAATTTTGACGACCATACAATGATATAAGCTAATCTTTTTCACAATCACCTCCTTTATGGATACCAAACGAAAGGCTCTGATTGGTAGAATAGAGCTCATTAAAACCGTTTAACATAAAAATATTTTTATGTATTACTTTTTACGGTCTTATACTCAAACAGTCACTTTATGATGTCTTGTTATTTATCTTGTATTAATAGTGACGGATCGTATCTACATTTAAATAGCGTTTGAGTAGTCGGCTGTTATTTAAAACCTACGAATTTGGATCCTTTCTTCCTTCATTAAATCTTGTTCCAAATTTAATTCTTGAATAAAATTTCAGTAATGCGCTACTTCAAGCGCAAAAATATCTGTAAATATATTTTATTATTTATATTTTTAATTTTATATATAAAAATATAAAGTTCAAAATTGAATGTGTACATAAATATTATTTTATAATTACATAATAATATATTAAAAACATAAAATTAATTGAAAAGCTCTTCCACAGGATTTATCCTATGATCTTGTATCAAATGAAATCGATACTTGTGTGTAAAACAATAAGGTTCAAATTAATCTCAATTCATAAGTAATTTCAAATATTTTAGTGGAAGAGGAGTCGACAAGCGATACTTTAATCTCATCATACAAATCTATTCCCTTTAGTCACTTCTAAGGCTCCGTACAATTATCATTCGTCAAATATACGCTATGTAACGCATCTTTCTACATACTATGTAAACCAATACTATCATTCCATTTGCCTTTCCCGGATTTTATAAATCACTATTCTTTGGCATAGATATAATGTATCGCTTTATATATTTAGGTATATAAATATAAATATTACACTACATATGAAATAAAATATTTTAAATATGTATGTTAAACTTTACAATTACTTGTATAGTTAAGTTGGTATTCACAAACAACATTTATTATTTTGCATTTTATTAATAATATTTCGGTCTTTAGACCTTATATTAAGTTTGTGAATACGGCTGTAAAAATATACGTTTTAACAATAAATTACTTATCAACGTGAATTATGCATAATACGCTATAGCTGTGCAAATTGTCTATTTAAATATAATCTCTCGATTAACGACCTTATACTCTTTGTGGTAAGGTTGAAAATTGTGTGAGCGGGAGTATCGGTATTGTATGGAAATGTAGTTCTTGATTATATCGCTAGAGGCGCTGGTGCGTTACATTGTTTCTTGGTTTAAAGACAATAAGAATAATAACATAACGCTATTTATTTTCTAAAGTGTTAGGTAGGGTTACAACGTATGATGTACAGTGCCCCGTGCAGGATTCAAACCCGCGACTTGTCTCTTGTTTTGAGACTTGACACTACTCCATTATATTATTAATAGTAATAAATGCTCCGTGGACCTGAACACAATAACGTTATCTAACAAAAAATGTAGCCTTCATTATGTTACCCTTTTTTGCTACAGCGAAGTATACGAAATATTTGCCGTGCGACGCGTTAGTACGAGTACTTTTAACGCGTTCGGCGTTTTGATTGGTTGGTTCATTGGCGCCGGCCAATCAGAGCGCCGAACGCTTACTCGTTTCGATTACTTTCAACGTAAAAAAACTCGTACTAAGCCCTCTGATCTTATTTGTTCTACTTAATAGTTTTGTACCTAGGAAATAATTGTTTTTGTAGTAAAATTGCTTTCGAAATTGGCCAATTTAATAAAAATATGTATCGTGGTATAAAACATGTTATATAAATGTTTTAGTTCGAACAACCATTCACCGACGCCCACAAAACCTTCGACCTTCACGTATGGTACGCACTTATAACAATAATTAAGTAAGTTGACAAAATATAATGTTCAGGCTAAATTGAACTTTGTTTTCAACAACAATTAGGTTCAATTTCCCACGTGCTCTATAAAAATAATAAAAAAAATATCCTTACTGCTAAGATTATAAAACTTGATTTTCATATACAAACAGCAGCAAACGCTACACTGATCGCTACTGTCATAACCGCAATCGGATTCTATACAAATACTGGCCTTACCGCGTTTAAACAAGGTTTAAATTCAACCAGCAAAATTGTGTCAATTTAGACATTCTTCGTCAACTTACTCAATTACACATATAAGGCGCACAATACACGAAATAAAAGAAATAAATGAATTACTCTTCAGCGGGGAATTTGGTCACGGCATCGTGCATAGCCCTGGCCATGTACTGGACGTTGGAAGGGTTTAACCCACACACGTTAATACGGCCAGATTTCAATAGATATATGTGGTATTCTTGAATTAGGTATTCCGCCTGTCTTTGGGTCAACCCAGTGTAGGAGAACAGACCGATCTGCTTGACAATGTGGTCCCAATTGCCTGGAGTACCGAGTCTGAAAAAAAAAATGGTTAAAATTAACTTGCAGAAAAGGTATTTTTAACAAACTTTGTTTCACACTTGGTTTTTCTACCGTGTCGCGAGTGCGTTTACAAACATACAATTTCACAATGACATGCTAACCCGAAACAACAATTTGTAGATCACACAGTTGCTTCGTGTGGGAATTGAACCCGCTTCAGGATGCGTGGCAGTCGGTTATCGAGCCATCGTGGCAACTATACAGTCATTTTGGCAATCAAGAGAATAGGGTTTTTTTTAAGGGGGGAAAATCATCGAATGACTGCTCCCGCCTGGGTGAGGCGGGAGGGAGTGTCAGACTCTTACTGACTAAAAACCACCCCGTTCCTTCTCCTGCACGTCGAGCCGGAGCCCCGGTTACCCATTAGGTTCTCCGCGACAAGAGAATAGGATAGATGACTAATTTTTATTTTAATGTCCGTCAGGTAGATTATTTAAAAACATTAGACACGTGTTTTTGAATTTCTTACGGAAACGAATAGTTTCGAAGATACACATTATATTAATTTTAAAATATCGGATGACGTCACATTTGAGTGCGATTTATACTCTAAAATAACGTAGCTACCTCCCACTCCTAAACTTTGATTCGTTTTATCTAAGTATTGTTTTATTATACGACAAAATAAAAAAATACGTGTCTAATATTTTTTTTTCATTACCTAACTGACGGACTAATTAGATTTTTAATTTTTATACCCTGTCATCATCCCTTTTGACTATCTATCATCAAGATACATATACAAGTTAGTTTGTATTTGTCAAGTGAACATATTTTGTGAGCTCGAGTGTGCAACGTCGAAGAGTTTAAGTAAGGCGTATACATATTCTAATTTTAGAGAATAATTAAAAAAATTACTTGACAAGTTCAGCCCTCAAAGCTTCTCTCATTGCCGTCACCCTGGACGACATGGCTTTGATGTGGTCCTTCCTGTAAAGATGAGAATTCTTATAATAAAGAAGCAGATAAACCATAGCGTAGTGACAAGAATTGAAAAGGGAATGTTACGATGGTTTGGACATATAGAACGGATGGATGAAAGCAGATTTACGACAGAAGTATCATCATTAACAACCTATAAGTGGGCACAGACCAAAGACCTATTCTCGCACGGCTGAGGTTAGAGCATTAATCACCACGCTTGCTCAATGCGGGTAGCCGATTTCAAAATTATAATTACAAATTATAAACCCAGGTCTCCTCAGGATGTTTTCCTACACCGTTTGTCAGTGGTGTCTAAATATAGAAAGTACATAAAGCTCGGAAAATGTCACATTGGTACTTTGCGGTTGGTAGAACCCTCGTGCATGAGAAGCGGGCGTCTTGAGCCTCAGGGCCACCACGATAGAAGTATATAGAGCGGATATGAATTGGACCGTCTGTAGAGAGCGCCCTTGACATATTATATCGTCCAGGTTGGCGTAATATTAAAGAGGGGTCAAAATTAAAACTACTCTTAACCGACGAGCATTCATTAAAAGACTGATGACTGTTGAGGAAGCGAAAGTGGTATGAAAGAATCGTAGCAATTGGCGTTCCATAGTCTCTGCCTACCCCATGGGAGACTGACCTGAGATTATGTATGTTACTTATAAAACCATAGCATTAAAATTGAAACAAAACTACTTTCGTACTGATGCCACGTGAGACATACGAGTACTTATAATTAGAGCTCTTGCAGATGCCAGTTTGAAATAGAATACCACGTGACTTTTAACAGATTGAAAAAAAATATTTTGTATCCAGAATGAGCATCTGCAAGGTGTTGCATTTTTCTGTTACATCTTGATTTTAAATGGACAATAAAAGAGAACTTGTATTTTGAAATTCGCCGAGCATTTTCCTCGAAAAGTTTCAGCTCAATTGTTTGTGTGTAAAAATGTAGTTGCAATATTCCACTTCACACGCACACACACGTATGTAAATACGTCCTCTCAAACTTTCGTTCGCATTTATAATATAAGTAACATAGTAAGATGTATTGAGTACTGTAATGAGTAAGCCAGTGGATGCAGGTGGCGAAATGTCGGTCGAGGAGGAGGACTAAGGCTTTGTCAATCAGTGGACGTCGTCTGGCCGTTGACGATGTTGATGTGTAGAGTACTGACCATTCGTCGAAGAGTTGTTTGTTGGCGAGCACGTTGGTGACGACGCGCGCGCCGTGCGCGGGCGGGTTGGAGTACATGCCGCGCACGATCCACGTCAGCTGCGACCGCAGCGTCTGTACCACCGACGGGTCCGACACCACGATGGCCAGGTTGCCTACTCGCTCGTCTGACGAACAAACGACAATGCTCATTGAAGTATACATTATTAACAGTATAAAAATACTCACGAAGACCACACTGGCGCATGAGAGGGTTAATTGTGCTGCGAAGTGCCGTAGTATGCCAAGGCACAATTTACAAGTTACAACCTTATTTCAACTAGCTTAGGAATCGTAATTCCTCGACACAAAGTGACCCGTTATAAGTGATACGTTTTATACGCGTGCAAATAGCATGCCACACAAAAAGACTCAAAATAACGTGATTAATAATAAAATCATTTACCATATTGTATCGTACCGAAAATCTCAAATTTAAAGTTTGACATATAATAAATGTCCAACCCTGTATTACTGTATAATGGTTACCACATGAATATAACATGTATACTAGTCGCTACTCCTACTTTTTCTTTCTACATATCGTAACAGCCGACGAAGGCATTACACATTTGACAGAGACAAGGCATCAGTGATCTTTGATAAATGTGAACCTTTGAAGTCACCTAAAAGGTTAAAGTTCAGATCAATTTCTTACCTGCCAGCCTAGCGCGGATATTATAGGCAACTCTTTTGTTTAGAAGTTTACAAATAGTTTAAAAAGAATAGCAACGTGTAAAACGATGGCTAAAAGATACGTACTGTATAATCCAAAGTTCTTGGCGTAGGACTGTGCGCAGATGAGCTCGAAGCCTCGCTGGACGAAGTAGCGCACGGCCCAGGCGTCCTGGTCTAAGTCACCTGATGCGAAGCCCTGGTATGCGCTGTCGAAGAATGGGAACAACTTGCGCTCCTGGGAAAAGAGGATATTTTTGGCTAACTCACGTAACTGATTGACGAGGAACTCAACTAGTTTCAAGCTGTGCAGGAAGCTCATACTCATAATAATTCATTTAGTATGTCTTACGAAAATGCTAAGGCTAAATGCTTCGACTAAAAATTACTAAGAAGTTAATCCACCAAGTAAGAGTATTTTACATTGATTAAAAATTCATCTTTCATAATGCAAGCTGTCAAAATGGAGAGAGATTGTCATGATTTAGAGTCATCTAAAAATGAAACATAACTAATGACAAACACCCTAAAACGCCGTCTTTACACAAAACAATACATTCCAACCACATACATTCTTTTACCACACCAACCGTATTCAATAACTAAAAAAGTTACCAAAAAAATATACCAGAAGCGCATTAAATCTAGAGCGCCCATGTTTTTTTTTTTTGTGCCGCCCCATATCTCTTGGCAGTTGGGCGCGCACGTCTCGCAGAGCCTTTCTGTATCCTGGCGTCGTAGGCACGTGCTCAGTTTGCATTTGATAATATGGTTCTGCAAAAAGTCCTTACCTCCATGACATCAGCAATTTTCTCCCACTGTTCATGAGTGGGGTCGCAGCCAGTGGGGTTGTGGGCGCACGCGTGGAGCAATATCACGGAGTTCTCAGGGGCATTGCGGAGGTCTTCGATGAGGCCTTCGAAATCAATCGCTCGGGCCTTCGCGTCCCAGTAGCGGTAGGTACGAGGGCTTGTGAAACCGGAGTTTACGAATACAAGATGGTGGTTTTCTGTTGAAGAGAGTGTTTGTTATAGAGTTGTTGTAGATAGTATTTATATACTATAGACAGTATTTATATACTATCTATAAAAACTAAAATATTTATATATTGTAACACGAGGGTTGATAGTTAGGTTCCGGCGCACACCTGACGGCGGCGAGAGATACCACCGCCCACCTGCGGCCAAGATGTTGTGCAAGGATCCTTTATTGTCTTTGCTCGGACGCACCCTTAATGGAGTGAAAACGAACCCCGCCAACGACAGTGAACCACTAGCAGCGAGGGACCCGGTTACATATAAACTAATTTTAAGTTAACCCCTATTTGTGTAGTTTTAAGAACAATTGTTCTGTTAATAAACGCCTTTCCCTACAGTTTTCGCAAATTCAAACCTCATTGCTATCCCACACCCTGACGACCCTGACGTAGGTAGAGGCTGCAATTGAAAGCCCAACGTTGCTATATTATATTTTTATTTATTTATGTCACCCCACACTAGGAGTTTCTAACGTGTCGTGGGTGCGTTTACAAACATACAATGTCACATACACATGCCACCTAGACCCGAAATAACATTTTGTGAATCACACAAAGAGTTGTTCCGGCTATCCATACAGTCGTTTTTATGCCCATGTCGCAAATAAGAGCTGACCTCTAAAGGCATGCCACGGCACTTTAGAATTAACATCCAGTAATTAGTACAATCATTGATATCTTAATTAACCACTTTATGTATTATCTAACGCACTTTACTTTTATCTTCAGATAAATTAAGCCAAATGTATTGAACACTTCAGTCGAGTGTTTAAATATTATGACTTAATAAACGTAATTAGAAAAAGGGGTGATAATCCAAATATCAAATTCCAACATTTCACTAAAGGCGTAGACAGCCTCCCAGCCATGAGAAGTAATTCGATGATTTTCCGCCCTTAAAAAAAAATACTCCCAAATTTCGACAGTTATGCTGTGAGTCCATATCAAGGTGGTAAAGTTAAATAAAATCAGTAAGAATTTTAAAAATAAAACTTTTTCACCACCCGTTTAAAATGAGTGAATAAAGCTACCTAATTACGATACTAGGTAGGTAATTTACGTATGAATCTCCCTCAATTTTAATTAAGGCCATTTTAAAAACAAAATAGAACATTTATCTAATTCTAAATTGGTAAATAATGTATTTTAAGGATTAAGTTAATTGTGATTATCTACCACGCGTGTGGTGTATGATAAACTTTGAAATCCAATATCTATATGTTGCTATGATATGATAAATTGATAAATTGATAAAAGAAGAAGTCTAATTACTCGAATTTACCTCCCCCCTCCCCAATAATCCTCAAATTCCTAATGCCCAAAAGGCCGGTAACGCACTGGTAACGCCTCTGGTGTTCCAGGCGTCCATGGGCGACGCCGATTGCTTACCATCAGGTGATCCGTCTACTCGTTTACCGGCTTATACCATAAAAAAGAGGTCGGGCAGAGTAATATTGATATTTCAACTATGGCAGTTCTCTGTAATAACTAATAATATCTAAGAAATTGAAGATGTGCACACATACCCCAGGTAGGCACGGAGTAGTAGAAGTTGGTGTAGTTGAGTTGCTTGTTCAGCAGCTCAGCGCCGACGCGGAGACTGCCTGTACCAGACAGTGTCTGAACTCCGAACGCCTGGAACCAACACATGGACATTTTATAGAGAAAGAACATTAAGTAAAAGGGTTCTACTTTTATAAATAGGAGAGAAGAACTTATGGCTGTTTTCATAAATCATCCCTAACAGTCACTCAACTCAACAACTCTTTACTCTTTTAGTATGCATATTATTTAATACTAGCTTTTACCCGCGGCTTCGCTCGCGACACAAAAGGATAAAAAGTAGCCTATGTGACATATACCAATACACACAGCGCCATCTATACCAATTTTCCCTCGGGAATATCAAATATTTCCGGGATAAAAGTACCCTATTATTTAAACTTCTAACTTTACGTCTGCAAAATTTCAAAGCAATCGGTTTAGTAGTTACGGCGTTAAAGTGGAACAAACAAACTCACTTTCCGATTTATAATAGATATATATATGAGTAGGTATCTATATGAGCTATATTCAGCTAAAAATTACAGTTTCAACATACATACTAGTCAACAACATATGTTTGACGATACATGTAACATGTGTCGCAAAGCCCAATAATACAAATTAATACTACTATTTATAACTATACTCATTACGCAAAACTGTAATATAATTGTGCAATATACAAATTCCTGAATAGAATAGAGGAGCAGAATTAATTGGAGTTAACGTATCCGGATGTCATAATTTGTCGTCAGTCAACCATAACAACACAATTGTTGCATCAGACAAAATACAACTATCCTATTTTACTAGGTATCTAGGCAAAGTTGCATCATTAAATGTGGTGACAATATTCGCAATACTTTTTTTTTCTATAAATTTCTATGACAAGGCGATCTGTGTGCTCACAAGAGCTCTATTAGTTGTACAGTGGTCAAATCAACCTGCCAATATGTCAAATTTATTCATTGTATCTTCGACTTTATATCAATAATATTATCTTATAGTATATCTTAATACTATTATATAAAGTGAAAGAGTGTGAGTTTGTTTTTTTGTTTGTTTGTTTGAACGCGCTAATCTCCGTAACTACAAGTCTGATTTGAATCTTATACTATTATATAAAGAGTTTTTTTGTTTGTTTCTTTGTTTGAACGCGCTAATCTCCATAACTACAAGTCTGATTTGAATAATTCTTTTTGTGTTGGATAGCGCATTTATCGAGGATGACTATAGGCTATAAAACATCACGCTACGACCAATAGGAGCTGAGCAGAGCGTGTGAAACCGCGCAGAAGTAGATAGTATATTTATATGTTCAGAATTGTGACAGAAAAGGATAGGTTGACCTTGAACTGCTGGCCACCGTACCATAGTAATGGATTTTCGGAAGCTAGATAAATAGAAAGAGGTTTTATTGAGTGCTCCTTTTTTATTAAGTCTCTGATTCAGTTAAATCTGTTGGGTTCGCAATACTAAAGCCAAGGATACTAAGCTACAAATGTCCTACGACACGTGTTGCCAGCGATGTTGGGTGAAGCGTGTCGTTGCCGGACTTTAGTCGACATGTCTGGCAACAGGTGAAATCAGCCTTAGCAGCCGTTTAACATGTCGCCGATACATTTACGAAACATTTCTAGACTCCAAGATTTTGTCAGGTACAAGAATTACCCTAGGTATGTTCGTCAGTTAGATTTGAGTTCCATTACTCGACCAACGAAACAAGGAAAGAAGATGCTGGGTGTACCCAAGTATACCTATTAAACAACTATGACTTACACGTCCTGCAGCGAGCGCGGGGCTGTCTTCTCCCAGCAGCATGGCGGTAGACGCCGCAGTGAACTGTTCCATACCTGCAACAACACACTTTATTTAATTTCTGTAATATAACATCACTTTACCCCGATGGGGTAGGCAGAGGTGCATACAGAAGTAACACCCACTTTTCAGTATTTATCTTATGAGTCCCATGTAAGGCCGCCTATTGCTGACTCCGTGGTACTACTGAGATTTTTTTAAACCCAGTAATATTTTGCCCGACCTGGGAATCGAACCCGAGACCCCTTGCCCGGCAGTCGCACTTGCGACCACTCGGCCAACGAGGCAGGCAGTAATTTCTATAAAATATATACATGTTGTTTTAATGGATTGCTGTATGTTTTAAAACAACACTATCTTCCCTAATATTTATAAATGCGGAAGTTTGTGACTTTGTTTGTATGTTTGTCAGTCAACCACGGCAAAACAGCTGAAAAGATCGGGACGAAATTTGGATTATAGGTAGATTATTATCTGGAATAACACACAGGTTATTTTATCCTACGGAACGGAGACAGGCTCTGGCAGAAGCTAGTATTATCATAGTCACAGAAGATGAGAAGACAGAAGTGTGCTACTAAAAAGACCTGCGTTATAAGGATATTCCCAATACCCATATTATATTATCTAGCTCAGGGTTGTCCAAACAAAGGCCCGCGGCTTTTTTTCATGTGGTCCGCGACACACATTTTAATCTCAAAATCTCATGATTTTATATGCAAGTTTTGTCTGTGAGTAAAGAATACAATGTTAAACGTCATTACACAATTGACAATATTTTTCTGGCCTTTCAGTTTTTGTAAGAAATTTAATTAGTCCGCTGGTATATAGTTTGGACAGCCCTGATCTAGTTAATTAATAATATTTATTTCATCTGACGCGCTATACATTGTGTAAACAAACATGACGTTAAGTAATATGATGAAACAGTAATAACTCTTGTCAGTCGCTTGGAAGGAATCTCAGTTAGAGACAAAACAACAATAATATTGATTTGTACCTAAAATGAAATAAACTAATACTTTATTTCATCATTGTTTGATGCAGTGGACGTACAGAACATGCCTTCAAGGATTCAAAGGTGCATTTTATTGGGGAAAAAGTCAGGCGTGTAATAAATGCACAACAAATGCACATACATTTCTGCACTACCCAAAGGATGACTGGCAGATAATGCTGTTAGCATTAAGTCTTCCTTATGCAATTGTATAAAACTTAAAATAAATAAAAATAAAATAAATGCAATGTCCATTTTACGCTAGACAAAAAAGATATTTTTAAAACTTTTCTTGAGGCGGGGAAAAACATCCAATGGCAGGAGCCTTGGGTGAGATGAGACGAATTTTAAATCGCACTTAAATAATATAGTTCTGATGAAATGACAGAGTTACTGACTAAAAGCTACTCCGTTCCTACTTCTGCTTCTAGCCGGAGCACCGGTAACCCGTTATGTTGTCCACGGCTCCGAGTATTAGAAACCCTGAGTGAAGCTATTTTAATGTGATTATGTCCGGCCGATTTCGATCGATTGATTTAAAGATTGGCGGATATATTATCATTGTGTTTATTAATGGCTATTTAAATTTATGGTTTCTTTTTATCAGTGACGCGAATGAACTGGTTTTAACAGCATAAAATAACATGACTTATAGGTACTGAAGATGGCATACGTAAAGATAACGTTTTTTTATGTAAATGATCTCTGATGCCTGTTTTGTTCGAGTACCACTTGCCCAGGCTGGGCAATGCATTTTACTTATATGTGATTTTTTGAGAGGGGGGGGGGGGGTTAAGCATATGTTTTTTGTATCACCCTTGATACATAGTAGCACGGAGTCTGGAATTATGCCCGGTATACGGCAATAGGCTCACCCCCTATTACATGGGACTCATAACATAAATAGTTAAAAGTGGGTGTTACATTGTACGGTGGCATAATGCGTAACATAAAACCTCTGCCTACCCCTTCGGGGATAAAAGGCCCCTTAGAAAAAATGCGTTATTGTTTAAACGTTACGCCATGGGGGTCACCGGTGACTGACATTGACGGAAGGTTGGCCTTCAACAGTTTTCTATTGGCTGTCAAAGGCTTAGAACATTGGGTTAAATAAAGTTTCCGTTAAAAAAACATAAATAGCCACACACCCGATTATATAATTTTGCACGCTATAATAAGATAAGAAGTGCGCACGGTTATAAAGACTAAAGAGCACGTAACACATATCTGTAATTTCGTTGTTTATGACGATAAATAGAACATTATCACTTTGGTACAGTTTTATTGATAAATGTAATAACTACTTACTTGATGTATTAACATACCGAATTAAAGATCGGAACGCTTCCTCATTCAAGAATTGTCGACCTATCAATTTATAGAATTAATTTATTTTTCACACTTCAGGTACTCAGGGCCGGATTTAGGGGTCCAGCCAGAGGCCTCGGGGCAACAAAGGAGTGGAGGCCCCCTTGCCCCAAATTATTTTCCAGATTGAGATCGAGGACGCCCGATAGATTTCGAGGACGCTCGAAAACAATCGAGGACGCTCGAAAACGATCGAGGACGCTCGATAGATTTCGAGGACGCTCGACAGATTTCGAGTTTAAGAATTGAAGAATACCAATTGTTCACATACTGCAATTAATTTTTTTAATGGTCGAGACACGGAATCGAATAGCCAACCTCCGAGGTTGCCGGCAAGTACCATCCCACTGAGCCATTGAGCCATTGGGGTACTCCCTCAAGATGGGTAGTAAATTGAAAGTGCTTATCAGAGCCATTTGAGATTTTGATATTTCACTGATTGCCTGATTGGAGTAACCAAATATAGATCAATGATTTCTGTTTCTGTTAATATTTAAAATTAATATAATCAAATAATCATGTATGTATAAAGTACTTTAGGCTGTAGGTAAAGGTAAAAGCGAAAAAAAAAAATATCAAAGAAAAGATGTTTACTAGGTTTACTAGTTGAAATTTGAAAGATTTTTTTTCGAAGTCTCTATTGTGGAGGCCCCCTGCTTGTGGAGGCCCCGGGGCTTTCGCCCCGGTTGCCCCCCCCCTAAATCCGGCACTGCAGGTACTATAATGACCTATGTACTTTAATCTTTGCTGCATCCAATCTTAGTTAGGGACACCCTTGTGATTGTTTTGATTTAATTTTGATTTTTTTTCAAATCTTGGAATTATCAACAGCCTATAATTGCCCACTGCTGAACAAAGCCTCTTCTCACACGGAGAAGGTTTGAGTATTAATCACCACGCTTGCCCATTGCTAGTTGGCGAATACAAACTTATAATTAGAAATTATCCAGGTTTCATCACGATGTTTTCCTTAACCGTTTGTCAATGGTGTTTAAATAATCTTGGAAAGTACACGGCATTTTTTTAAATAAAACCTTAACAATATAAACCCTTGAGTTAATATTTAAATAGAACCTTACATAGAAGTTATTCTATTTAACAAACAGCATGACTAAAATGGATTTAAACTTAGTGTGTTGTTATAGTTGCTATGTTATCATAGTAACACTTGATAACATATAGATTTGTTTAAGGCATAAACACCTGATTGATAAGAAGTTAATTAACAGAACAATTTGGTTTTAAATGTTGTGTTCAAAAACTGGCATTCTTCAAAAAGGTGAAAGAAGCCAAAACAACTATCTTCAAATATAAAGAATATTTATTTTATATGTATAAAGAGAAATTAATTATCTTATTGAATTTCAACCTAATTTAGCAAAGTAATAAAGATGTATATGATGTAACTATCTTCAGAATTTACTCTTCTAAATAAATACACAAACACAATGTATTTAATATAAACCATGAGCAAATAGCTTCACTTTTAATTTTATTGTTGGCATTCAAAAGTGCCTTTCTGGTCTAATTGAAATAAATGATTTTGACTTTCACTTTGACAACATTTATACAAACAATCTGTAATAATAATATAAAAATTATAGATTATCACAGATAGTAGAGTGATTCGCAAATTATTGTGTTACTAATCAAAATATATATTGATAGCTTTTTGCACATACAATTGGTTTGTCTCCATATTATTTTTAGATATTAAAAAATAAGTCATCAAAAAGACTAAACATATAAAGGTAGAAAATTTAGTTAATTTAGTAAGATGCATAAAAACATCGACCGACTGACAAATTGATAAATAATAGTGACAGTGAGCACCTAGCTTCACCTAGTTTCACTGACGGACTATATATATATCAAACTATGGTTTAATTGAAATAAATGCTTTGACTTTGACAATATGTTATCTTAACTCGTCGAGTACCGGTTTTATCTCGGAACAATAACTAAAGCATGGAAGCCAGGCTAAAATAACAACTAGACTCCATATCTTCATCTTTTTTTTACTTATGGTATTGATAGTGTATAAGAAAGAGACATGTGTATTGTTTCATTTCGTTATTATGCAGGTTGTCACTACTTGTAAATATGCTAGTGATGGGAATAAATTAATATATTTTATCGATAAATTATGGTACCTGAAAGTATTGCTGCTGTGGTAGTACATTAAGTTCTCGATCTCCTGATGTCGTGGGTTCAGAAATAAAACACAATATTAAAAAGATAATTTAATTGCTCATAAACAAAGCATATTTACAAACCGTGGCAGTGGTGCACTATTAGGTATGTTTTTATCATTGACCTTGTTAAATAATTATGTGCGAATTTTTTCGGTAGGTACTTAATAGGTAGGTATTTTTTAAATTTCATTCCGTTAAAGCTGATTATGTATTCTATGACATTTTTAGAATATTCCGTAAGAGATGATGGGTATAAAATGTAGTCGTGTTCTGTCAAAACATCAAAAGTATAATATGATTTGGGTTCTAAACGACGTCTATACTATAAAGAACTTCAAAGCCTAACTAAAATATCGATATGTAACATGACCACATCACTAGCTTAAAAACTAACTTAGAAAATTGATTTATATTTTTTAGGAAAAAATGGAATAATACTGTTTAGGCTTACAATTTAAAAGTACGACAATAAATAAGGAACATTTATTTATAGTTTACCGGTATTTCTAGTGTAATTTATTTTAAAACATATCAAAAACTTACGAATGAAAGTAAATTTTTTCACCACTGTTTTCTTTTCTTCCTAAGTGTGAATTGCAGCCGTCAATCACGCAAGACGTATTTTTATTAAGTAAAACACATAATAAAGAACGACCATACAGTTTCTTTCTTACTTTCTTTTGCTCTAATTCCTTGGAAAATATTTTTTATTATCAGGAGCCGTAAATACATCCACGGTGACACTTCAGTATTATAATCCGGCAAAGTGAGGAAGGTGTCAAACTTGAGTGAAACTGTGAAACATAGAACGTCAAAACGTGATTTTGAATTTGGTAGTATGCTGAATGAGTCCAATGACATAAGATTGTAATGAGTCCACTGAAAGTTGTGACAACCTGCAAATTATCAGAACTATGTTCATTTTGCGGTCTCATTCTCGCCTACGCAAAATCGTGTAAAGAGCGATAGAATCAGATATACGTTTGTAAATTGCTATTTTAGCCTGGCTTCCATGCTTTAGTTATTGTTCCGAGGGTTTTATAGACACAATTAAAGAACAATAGGTCGCGGTCACCGGTGACCGCTTGGTGTTTGACAGATTAATACAATAATAATGGAATGTTACTTCTAACTTACCAAGAACCGGGAGGTATTCATGCAGGAGTGTCTCATCATTAGCCATCTGCTTCTCCATCTTCCTCACCACAGGCAGGACCCATGGCTGACCCTTCTCATCTCGGTATGCTGCAATAAAAACATATATTATAAAAACTTCTATATTAGAATACATACAAATAAATTGATGTAATATGCTGTTAATTGATATTGTTTATCATTCGAAAGTAAAAATTAAATAATAAAATATATTCTTATAAAAGTTAACTAAATTAATATTTTAAACAGGAATGATAAAATCATAAGACATACATAAAAGTCAGTGTTCGAATAAAATTATGTTTAATAAATTAACAGGTGTTTACAAAATATATACATTTGAAATTATATAATTAAGGTTAAAAGGAGACATGTTGCTGGAACTGCTGGAAGACGAAAATCATCAGTTTCGTGACCGGTATTTTGTAAAATAGTAACTAAACTCACCGCCAATGCTCAAATTGATTTTAGACTGGTGCGGGTCTTCCATAAACATACGATTTAATTGGAAAACTTCGATCGGAGGACCTTGCTGAACATCTTGGAAGCGGGAACCCATTTTTAAATTTTTTCCCAACCTATCAGACTGAAACTCACGCACGAAATGCGTTGTTTGTATCTCGCGTTGAGCAATACAATGAATTTGTTGAAGATAATACTGACGGTTTTACTGAATCGTCAGAAATACGAACAGCAAAAGGCCAGTTTACGAGTTTAATTTCTTCCCTCTTGACCTTTATCAATGACAGAAATGTCAATGTCATTTATATTTGTGACGTGACGTTGACATTCACGTTTTGTTATTACAAAGATGGAAAATAGTAAAACCTAAACAATATCATTTTTACTGTAGATGTACATAACACATATTGCGCAAGAGATTTTTTTACCCTTAGCTAGTATCTACCATGTATTTATACGGTATAGGCTCTTTGCATCATGTACATAATTGAACGTTCAATTTTTAACAGCTACAATGATTGGACAAAATTTTTCATGCTAGATTAGTGCCGTATGATGCCATAATATTGATGAGTAAGAAACGGTTCCGGTATTCAGAAATATGCATGTAGAATAAAATAAACTTCCAATGTAGTAAATTTTAATCAAGGAATTAAGTAATCAGACATTTTAACAAATATATTCGCTGTATGTCGGATTTTTCAGATTACAAGCACGTGGATCACCCGATCTTACAACATAATATACACTTTTATATTCTCTATTCTCACCACCCATTTCTATATATTTTAAAACACCATATGTAGCCATTCCTGCTCCGATTAGTGACATGAAATGTGCGGCCATAATTTCTGGTATCTCCCACCATCCTCGTTTAAATAATCCAACTATTCCCTTATTAAATTTAACTACATGACCGAATGGTTTTGTTATTTGGTTCATTTTCTTTAGAATGGTGTTTTATAAATTATATTAGCAATAAATTCACACAGAGAAAAGCTGTTGAAGTGATTTAACAGACTTGTCGAATCAAAAGTGACGTAATGTAAACGGAATTCTCCCGAAAAACGCCGACAGGTGGTCCAAGATTTATTTTTAAATAAGTCAAAAATTAAATATTTCTTTTATGTAATAATAGTTGTAATCAACTGCTCAAGGCTGATGTTGCATGAATATTATGAAAACGAAAAATATTAAAATTGTAAAAACATTTTCTTTTTGTCGGTGTTTCGGGAGCGTTCCGTTTAGCCATACTTAGAACCCCTATACTTATTATATTCTTTGATACTAAGCTTATAAAAAATTTTATAATGCCAGTACGTGGGGAAAAGGTCGATATCATACTCTTTGGGAAATATACATTTTTCTTTTATCTCTCTTGTCATGAGTTCATGGATGGCTAAAACACAATTTTCTCAGGGAATGGCGCCACGGCGCGGCGGGCGGAACAACCAGTGTTTGTATGTTTTGAACAATAGTAGGTCAGATATTTTTGTCACTGATATCCATAGATATATAACATCCAATCTCCGAGGCTGCTATCAGTTCATTTCTCGACTGAAAGCACTGATATGATAAGACTATATCTATGACTGAAAGACTTGAATCTATGGTCATGAATAGAATTATAAAAAAAGTCGCTGTCATTAATTTCTTCTTATAATGAAATGTCAGTGTCACATTTCTGACAGGAATCCATCGAAATTACGAAGGGCTGTTGATAGTTTTATTCGTAAATTACATAAATTTACGATACATTACAATGGCTTCAGCATCAAGACGTAGTCTGGGTCAATTAATCCAACAAGGATGGCACGAAATTCCTGAAGTTTTGGCTACGACGGGTTTGGCGATCTTGGGTATTGGCATGGCTACAGTAGGATGTTACAATTATGTGAAAATGGACGGAGACAACAGGAGGTACAAGAGCACCTACGTTGTAATGAGGCCCGACGACCCTAAAGCAAAACTAATTCGCAAAGATTAACTCTAGTTCGTGTAAGTCAGATTCTGTAAATGTGAAATATTAGATTCAATTTATTATGTAATAAAGATCAGTGTTATTATGTTGTTGTTTATTTCTTGTTTTTTTTTTCCTTTTAACGTTACGTCGTGGAGGTTAGGAGGTCGTGAAGGTAAGTAGGCAGTTTAGGATACTGACCAATTACCGATTAATGTTATCTTGATCTAACCAGATAAATGATTTACAAAACCAAATGTTTTACTTACGCGTTATGAAGATAGAAAATAGGTTAAGATTATGTAGATACTAAATATTTCTAAATCAAATCAATGCCCACTAACACAGTCATAATACAGAAATTATGTGAATGTGCAGGTTATGAGTTAAGTTGTAAATAAAACAAGAAAATTAAAAATAGTTAACTTTAATCAACATGAAAACCAATCAACAAAATTGTTCAGAAATGAGACTTGTAGACATTACATTGAGATAAACACAATTTAATTTATATTGAGATACATTAATTTTCAATATTTTTAGAGCTTTCGCCAAAGAGTATAATAAGTATAAGGCTTCCGCTTAATGTCAGTTATTTTTTTAAGAAAATAATATTACAAATTATGACAGTAGTACAGGATGAAGGATTATAACACTTTTATCCTGCATGAACATTTTTTTTTATTAGTTATTATTGTAAGAAGTTATTTGAGAACAAGTAGAAGGAACATCCATAGTTATTATTAATCATCAATCTTCATACATCATCAATTACATCATACACATTAGGTTAACACAATAGTTTATTTCCTACTATCAAAATCTATCTCTATAGATAAAAGAAGAAAATTGTGTTTGTTACACTATTTATAACTCAAGAATGGCTAAATCAATGTGGCTGGAAATTGGTGGGCAGGTAGTTTAGAACAGGTAACAGAGATAGGACGCTGTTACGCAAGGATCTCCCGAACATGTGAATAAACAGGATTGGGCATACAAAATGTCAGGTCCGAGCTAGTAATATTATATACTGCAGTTGAGTTATTGAAAGTGGGTTGACAAAATCACAATAACCCAATAATTTGTGTATAGATATAAGTTTCACAAAGGTTTATATAGATGCTAATCCATTTCTCTCAAACCCGGCAGTAATTTATTATAACAATTAAACGACTGCACGGTTGGCGCGGTGGCTGGGCAACTGGCTGCCGCGCAACGTGTCGGGGGTTCGATTCCCGTATGGAACAACTCTTTGTGTGATCCACAGATTGTTGTTCCGGGTCTGGGTGTCATGTGTATGTGATATTATATGTTTGTAAAAGCACCCACGACAGGAGAAAATCCTAGAGGGGGGAAACACTCATTAAAAAAAAAAATATTGGTCAGCTACTAAGTTAATAAAGTGAGTCATGAAAAGAAGATCACATTAACATTTTGGCTGTAGGTTTAACAGTACTGAGATAACATTACTATACAAGTATACATGACATGAAGTGAAGATTCTTAAATATTATTTTAATATTACCTTATTTGATAGGATTGGCAATATTCAATAAGACAAAGTTTCCAATGCAATTATAATAATGAGACAGAAATGTTGAAAAATTAGGCCTTGCTTTCATATCTATTTACGAGTTAGACCATGACAGACAAATATATTTATTACCTTCCTTTTAGGAATAATAGTACTAATATTTGGAATATCATAATTATGACTATTTTACATTAAAGTTCTTACCTTAATATTCACAACATCGTATAAACCTACAATAACTGCAGAGTGTTTTATTCAATGACTAGTAAAAATTAGTTTTGACTTCTTGGCAGGCATATTTGAGGCGGTAGAAAACATAATAATTTAGTATGTCTCACGAAATTAATAATATAAACAAATAATTATTATGTTTTCTGCTTACTCAACTGTTTGACGAGGAACTCGACTAGTTTCAAGCTATGCTAGAGACTCATATTTAGGTAGCAGCGCGACAGTCGTCGCGTCGCGGAACGCGGAATGCTGCTCATGAATACGAGCCTCTAGCATGGCTTGAAACAAGTCGAGTTCCTCGTCAAACAGTTACGTGTATCAACCGAAAACATAATAATTAATTAGTACGTCACACGAAAGTTTAATATAAATAAACATAAAACAATATTGTGTATCACTTAGCTCTGTGCTCTGGCAGACTAAGAGTTAATGAAACAGACAAAACACTCTACAACTATAATAAGCTTAATTTTTTAAACTGGAATGGTTACTAACTCTATCATCAGAACTTTGAAAGCCTTATTTTATTACATTACATTTTATAATTATGAGAAACGATATTTTTTCATGAAAAATGCGGTTTAATATGTGTTCAAAACTACGATAGACACTTGTTCACTGGTGACAAACTACCACTATTATCACTTTTATCTCGTATCACGCAATTCGCGTCCAGTCTCACTAGACATATGTATAGTTACCATTTAAAAGTACTTAATGTGTAGATTTAATAATGCATGTCCTTCACTTACAATTTATTAGGCATAGTAGGTGACAATTTGGGAAACATTTCGATTAACAAATAGCTGCCCCATACATTTATTTCATTTTCTTGTGACATGAAAGTATAACACTCATACAAGCCAATACTATTAATTGCTTGCAATGTCTTATATTGGCGAATTTATTTCTCTCATCAGACTCAACTCAATATATTTAACAGATCTAATAAAAGTTTAATTATAAAATGAACGAAAGTATTTGACTTCTATATTCCCACATTGTAGCCTACTATGAAAAGTTTTAATCATATGTTTAATTAACCACTGATGCTCAGGCATTAGTACGAGTTTTTTTTACGTTGAAAGTATTCGAAACGAGTAAGCGTTCGGCGCTCTGAAGGCTTAGTACAAGTTAGTTTTACGTTAAAAGTAATCGAAACGAGAACGCGTTCGGCGCTTTGATTGGTTGGTTCATTGGCGCCGGCCAATCACAGCGCCGAAAGCGTACTCGTTTCGAATACTTTAAACGTAAATAAAACTCGTACTAAGGCCTCTGATTGGCCGGCGCCAATTAACCAGCTAATCAGAGGGCCAAGCACGAATAACTATCGCATTCGTATCGTAACAGTATCGAGCGAAGTAAGCGTTCCGATTGGTTGGTTCACTTGAGCCGGCCAATCAGAGCGCCGAACGCACTCGATACTATTACGTTACAATTGCGATAGTTATTCGTGCTTGGTACTCTACTCAGAGCGCCGAACGCGTACTCGTTACGATTAGTTTAAACGTAACAAACTAGTACCTAGTACTAAGGCCTCAGTACACGTTTCACTTTCACAATTTTTCAGTAGTCTACTATTATTGACACAATATGTATGTATGTAAGTACGTTTATCACAAATCACTGCACTACGGTACAAAAGAGGTCCGATGGTCCATCAAGTCACATTATCTGAACAAGAAGGCCATCACGGAACGCCGATGCTATTTCTCTTTTTTCTTTTTACCCGTCGACGCTTTGGATGTTGACTTGCCTTTGCTTGTCGTTGGTTTCTCTGTATCTTTACTTTTCTTTTTCTGTGTAAAATGGAAATAAAGATTTTAGTACACATAGTTATTTAGTACCAACATACTGCATGTGTCTATTTTCTGTGTGTGTATTTGTTTTCTGTATTGTTTTGTCTGTTTAATGTATAATATAACACAAAAAGAATTATTCAAATCAGACTTGTAGTTACGGAGATTACCGCGTTCAAACAAACTCTTCCGCTTTATATAATAGTGTAAGATATGTTGTAGAATAAAATTACCTTAATTAACGCATCATTCTCAGGGTCACTGTCATTATTTTCCTCTTCTTCCTCTTGGTCTTCGTCTCCGAATTCATCATCAGCTTTGGCTCTCCCTTTCTTGACGGCGCCCGGCGCGTACGGTAGAGCGGTCGCTTTCTTGTTGTATGACCGGGTCATTGCCGCTTTCACCTGATAAAAAAACAATTTATTGGAAAAAAAATCCTGATAATTTTTACAAATTTATATCTTGTCTTTTACAGTATTTTTGTTGAATTTGTCATTTTTAAGAGTGATTCGATTTCAAAACTCAATAAGGATAATTATCTATGTAACAATGAAATGCAATGTATGTATGCACGTGCATAACTCCGGAACTACTTGACCGAATAGGATAAACTGATTCAAGAAATTCCTCCTTTAAATAGATAGTCTACTTGACTATTTTTGTGTTCATGATAGTTAACACAACATAACATCACGCCTTTTATCCTCGAAGGGGTAGGCAGAGGTGCACATTATACCATTGCACAATGTAACACCCACTTTTCACTATTTATGTTATGAGTCCCATGTAATAGGGAGTGAGCCTATTGCTATATACCGGGCACAATTCCAGACTCCGTGCTACTACTGAGAATTTTTTTAATACGGAGTAATACTTTACCCGACCGCGAATCGAACCCGAGACCTCTTGCCCGGCAGTCGCACTTGCGACCACTCGGCCAACGAGGCAGTCAGTAGTAGTTAAGACAATTAAACTGTCAAACACCGCGAGGAAACCGGTGACCGCAACCTATTGTTCTTTAATTGTGTCTATAATGACGGTACTCAAAGGGTTAAGAAAGAAAATCAACACATCCGTGAACATCGGGATATAGCACAATGCGTAATGACATGTTTCCTTACCCTCGATTCCACTAAATCAGCAGGATTCATTTGTCCGGGCCAGACAGACAGTTCTACTAAAGAATCCAGATCTTCCCTCAACAGATTGTAAGACTCCAGCACTTCCAAGGACTTGTCAACGCCATCCAACTTGTCCTTTACTAAAGGATTGAGGATCGCGTTACGAAGGTGCATACTGTAGTCCAGGTAGATTGAGGATTTTGAACCAGATGTGCTGTGGAATAGAGTTAGGTTTAGATTGTAGGCATTATAAAAGAGTGACTAAGGAGTTTCTTGTGCATTTGTCTGTATAGGAATTGGGATAAATTATAAGATTTTGATTTTCACTTCATGGTATATGTGCAACTTGATGTATAAAGAATACGTAAAACCAGTACCATAATTTTGATTTAATGTAAAAGAATAACAAACAGATACTTATGCAATTAACATAAATTTCAATCAAAGCTACATATACCTGAGTCGAGTATGTGCATGTATCTCCTGACAGAGGCGTTTCATCTTGGTGGCACGGGAGTTCTTCCCGAGCCAGGCTGGGAACTGGATCTGACCAGTCATATGACCAGACATGCGGTTACCTGGGATCACTGAGCTGTACATCGCCTGGGAATGATAAGAAGCGTTTAGATGCAGATAGTATAAAAGTTGGTTTATGAAAATATGGAAAGGTCCTATAATTCTACGAATAGATTTCATAATTTCTATGAAGGTAATGAAAATCTATAATTCGGTAGAAAGATCCCATTTTGTCTGTCAGATTCCAGGCTCCAAAAAGGCTATAAATACATTATTTCTAAGGTTATTATTAAAACCAAAATTATATAATATATATATTTTTTTTTTCTTATGGGACAAGCCCGCCACAACCTCCCAAAACCGCTGCAACTCCTGTAACCCAGGATCTACAGTAGATACAACAATGAAAACACCGGAACACTGAAGTCCGGCGCGTCCCAGGGACATGAGTAACTGTCTTGGTTCCCGCAACAAAGTGAATCAGAAGATATTATAAGAGAAGAAGAAAAAAAAAGAAATTATATATACTTAACAAATGATATGTTTACCTGCATTGGCAATAGACTCCACGCTTGATTGCGGCGTATCCGCGCGTCTACCAAGTCACCCAAGCTGATGCTGTCGGCTGCCTCGCTTATCCTTTGTAACACTTCATTTCTATAGCAAATAACCGACATTTTATTGTTAGTAAAGTGATTGTGGAAGCAGGAGGAAAATTAATAATGATGTTTTTGGCTAACACACGTTAATTGTTCGAAGAGGAACTCGATGAGTTTCAAGCCATGCTAGAGAGTCATCATGTCTCGCGCACCGCCGCCGCCGATAGTACGGATAGAGATGCGTGCGCGTGAATCACGGCAGAGGGAAGTTGGGCCCGCAGCGGAGCGGAGCCGAGCAGACAGTAGCAGCCACAGTCACCGCGTTGCGGGTCGCGGAGTGCTGCTCATGAATATGAACCTTTAGCATGGCTTTCAACTAGTCAAGTTTCCCGTCAAACAGTTATAAGCCGAAAACATAATAATTAATTTAGTATGTCTCACGAATGACGAAATTTACAACATAAACAGGAAGAAAATATCTAGAAAAACCAAAATAAAGTCAGAGGTCAGTTTCTTCTAAAATTGATATTTTCGTTCTCACGTGGAAGCAGGCACCATGCTTCGCATGAATGTTCCGGCTCTACCGGAGTGATACCACAAGCTGACAGACTACCGACGTGAGACAACTGAAGCGTTGTCTTTGGCGGTGAAATTGAGGTTATTGGATATCCAAAGCCCAAAAGACCGGAACCGTACTTTTGGTATTCTTTTAACTCTGGTGTTGGTGGTGGGTGTCCACGGGGATAGCATCAACTGATCTGCATGTGTAACCTATAAAAATTCTCGTTCGTTGCCCTATCTTTATACATATAATTCTTCTGTGAGTGTGTATGTCACTGAACTTCTCTAAACCGACTGGACCGATTTTGATGAAATTTTTTATGTGTGTTCAACGGGATCTGGGAATGGTTTAGATTCACAAATCAGCCCGGCAGATGGCGCTGCAGTCTCAGTTTAGGTTACCTATCCTGAACAGCTGAACTAATTTGAATGAATTTTTGTTTATACATTTAAGTGGATATGCAGGACAACGTCTGTTGGGTCCGCTAGTCTTGTATATAAATGACTTACTTAGGACCGTGCGGGGCGACCTGTAGATAGTTCTCCTGCACAAAGAGTGGCGCGAGGCTGTAGTCGTAGAAGAACAGGTCGCTCTTGTCGTTGATACTCATCGTCTTGTGGTCTTCTGCTGAGAACACCTTGCGGATCGCCTCGAATGGACCCTGGGAATGTGGATTGGTTTTATTAGAATAAACTAATATCTAGGATGATTCGGACATCACACGGGACGAGGGCATAGTAGTATTTTTTTAAGGGGGGAAAATAATCGAATGACTCCTCTCGCCTGGGTGAGGCGGGAGGGAGTGTCAAGACTCTTACTGACTAAAAACCACCCCGTACCTTCTCCTGCACTTCGAACCGGAGCCCCGGTAACCCGTTAGGTTCTCCGCGACAGGGCATAGTAGTATAGGTATTTGTCATCAGCTCAATTTTCCCGCGCCCGGTTTTAATAGCCGATGAAGTAATGAAATACATACATACGTAACTTCAAGCCTGTCTCCCATGGGGGTAGGCAGAGACTATGGAACGCCAATTACTACGATTCCTACATATTATTCCTTTTAATTTAAACATCGATCGACCAGTCGCCGGCCGGTTCGAAGTGATGGTGACAGGCGGGAAACATGTTTAATTTGTGCACATCTAAAAGTCTCTATTACCATAAAAATATAAGCCTGAAGAAGTATATGTGGTTCATTATTTTTATATTACAACTGTGGGCCACGTAATACTGGATATGTCTATGAGCCCCGAGCGTTACTTGTAACTAGTCAAATTACCTCGTCAAAACCGTAATACATAAATATATATTCAAGATTATATTTAGGATTTTTTAAACGTTGCCCCACACTAGGATTTCTCCTGTGTCGTGGGTGCGTTTACAAACATACAAGGTCACATACACATGACACATAGACCCGGAACAACAATCTGTGGATCACACAAAGAGATGTTCCGTGCTAGAATCGAACGCGCGACACGTTGCGCGGTAGCCAGTTGTCCAGCCATCGCACCAACCGTGCAATCTAGTGCAGTAGTTTATTTATTTATTTATTTCTTCTTAACAATATACAACAGTGAATGGCGCACTTAATACCTTAAGGCATTCTCTTACAGTCAACCATAGGGAAGTGCAGAGAAATGAAGTGGTTGATGCGAAGCCAGAACAGTAGTTATAAGTTTATATAAAATCATACTAATAGGACTGTACTCACCAGCTTAATATCCTTCTTGGTAGTCTGAGCATCCTTCCTGAGACTGTCTGCATCAGCGCGACTGGGGTCTATAGCCCACATGGACAACAAGTTCAGGGTCTGTCGGACATCTTGGTTGGCGGAGACTATCAACTGACTGAGCACGTCAGGGGGGATCTTTATACCTTCTTTGAAGCATATCGAGAGCATCGCTGACTGTAAACATGTAGAGAAATGTTATGTTGATGATATTCATGAAAAGCTGACGGTTGATTGAGGAAGGTTAATTCTTTTGTAACATCATTATACACTTATTTAGAGACTCGGTTGCCAAAGAAAAAAAAATATACCTATGTTATTCAAATAAATAGTCTAATTTCACTGCCTCGTTGGCCGAGTGGTCGTAAGTGCGACTGCCGGTCAAGGGGTCTCGGGTTAGATTCCCGGGTCGGGTAAAGTATTACTGGGTTTTTTAATATTCTCAGTAGTAGCACGGAGTCTGGAATTGTGCCCGGTATATGGCAATAGGCTCACCACCTACTTACATGGGACTCATAACATAAATAGTGAAAAGTGGGTGTTACTTTATACAGTGGTATAATGTGCAGCTCTGCCTACCCCTTCGGGGATAAAAGGCGTGATGTTATGTTATGTTATATTGCGTGTACAATTGCACGATGGGCACTCAACTCTCTCGTACACCCGTGTGTACGAGAAACACGCGAGAGGCTAAACCATAAACAAGGTACTTTTGAAACTTCATAAAATATAAAAATAAATAATAGTTTTAAGTATGGGAGAACCATACTTCGGTACGAATGGGCCGGCTCGACCGGAACGATACCACGGTCGAGGAGAAAACCGACGTAAAACAACGTGCTTGCAGTGTTTCGTCGTGTGAAGGATACTAGAGGCCTAATTACGGCTCTCCGCAATCTCCGAACCTTCAACAATCCTTAAATTTCTATTTATCAAAGGCCCTTGTAACGCCTCCGGTGTTGCAGGTGTCCATGGGCGACGCCGATTGCTTACCATCAGGTAATCCGTTTGCTCGTTTACGAGGTGTATAGTATAAAAAAGCCTGTCAGTCTGTCCGTCAGGTAAGCTAGGTGGTAGTTCCAAAATGTATATTCGAATGTAGAAGACCGAGCAAGAATCTCCACCGTTACTCTTATATTGTCGGTATTACGTACAAAGTCAAAGCATTTATTTCAATTAAACCATAGTTTGGTACTTTTGAAACGTCAACAAATCCTTACTATTATAAATGGGAAAGTGAGTTTGTTTGTTTGTTCCGCGTTCACGCCGTAACTACTAAACCGATTGATTTGAATTTTTGCAGACGTAAAGTTAGAATTCCGGATTAAATAATATGGTACTTTTTATCCCGGAAAAATTTGATATTCCCGAGGGAAAACAAAAGAATTGGTATAGATGGCGCTATGTGTATTGGTATATGTCACATAGGCTACTTTTTATCCTTTTGTGACGCGAGCGAAGCTGCGGGTAAAAGCTAGTACAAAATAAATAAGTCTGTCAGTCAGTCCGTCAGTGAAACTAGGTGAAGCTAGGTACCTTAATCTGGTCGACTCTTGGCCTATTGAACCTCAGATCGTAACAGTAGTTGACAAGAGACCTCATCTTCTGACTCTGTCTGTCATTACACATGCATATTATTGGCACTGATGACGATTTTATTAATGCTATCAACTCTTGGAGACCACCTGGAAACAAAGGAATAAATTGATATATTTTTTTTAATAATAATAATAATAAGCCCGCAGGGCACCTTGAGGCGAGGTGACGGGCATTAGCGATCCCGCGGGCTACCATCATCCCGAGTGCTCCAGGGAGAGGTCACCGTTCCTTCTTCTCCGGCTTGCCTTAATTGGCTGGCTGGAGTGAACGATGACAAGGAACAGGTCTCCCACCTCTGGCTTGCCTTCATTGGCCGTCCAGAGTGGAGTCGCGAGAGCAGTGAACCTGCTCGGAGGGTAAGAAACTATTCGTAAGTCGCGAGTGGGCCAGGGATGCAGGAGGCTTCGGCTGGAGCAGATGATCTGAGTAGAAAGCGGTGGTAGTTTCTTAACCCTTCAGCCACTCACATTCTCGTTGCCCCTCTGTTGCTATATCTAGCAACCATTCCCGGGGCCCGGTTGGTGAGTTGGCGAGTCTCCGCCTGCCATTTGTACGTGTAAAAATTACATTGTTTCGGCAGGTGCCATAGTCATCCATAGTTCCCAATTTACCAGTCCACAGCAACCCATCCATAGCCCTACCTTTTTTTTTTTTTTTTTTTACAATAGTTCTACACTAACCGGGGACTGTCCTTGGGTGCATTTCCATAGTGCATACAGGGATAGTCGCCGGTTTGTGTGTCCATTACATTTAGATTAAAGTTGTCTAAAGGGCCTCTGCGCAGTTGGCTTCGGCCCCTCGTACGCCTCCCAAATGACCGGGACCCTGTGGTCCCGTGAATGGTAAAGATAATAATAATAATAATTCTTTATTTGCTCAATGTGGTACATGATATAGATGTTACATACAATATATTTAGATCAGCACATTTACCATTATTGGCATGCAAATTGGGTACATTTAATCTTTACTGTAGATTAAAATAAAATACATGAAGGCTACAATTTTGGTTCATAAACTAAGTACACTTACTGCTCTTATTTATTTCTTTCTTTAAAACTAAAAGATTTACATTTGTTTTTTTCTAAAAATTCGTGGATTGAGTAGTAATTTTCTTTAATTAGCCATTGCTTTAATACATTACAAAATTTCTTATACGGAAGTTCAGTTATAGATTTAGGCAACGTATTATAAATTAGAGGAGCCATATAAACACAATTCCGTCTAAATAACTCCAATCTAGGTGAAGGCACTTGAAGAAGTACGCATGTTGCTTTTCTCTTATTTACATTATCTTTAACTTGAAAAAGCGAAGGATTGGTTCTTATGAATTTAGCAATTTCATAAATATAAATGGACGGGACAGTTAACAGCTTATTAGACTGAAATACAGGCCTACAGGATTCAGACCATTTCAAATTAAATATTGCCCGAATGCATTTTTTCTGCGCTATAAACACTCTAGAAATATCCGTAGAATTTCCCCAAACAATTATTCCATAACGAATTATTGAACAAACATACGCATGGTAAACAAGAATAGCCGTACACCTTGATGTAACGTCTTTAACCTTTCTCAAAGCAAAGATAAACTTATTAATCTTATTACAAATATTATCTATATGGATTTTCCATGTAAGGTGTTCGTCAAGAATAACCCCTAGAAACCTTGCACTGCGAACCTGTTCAATCATTTGACCATCATATGCAATATTTAAATGTATGTGTTTACTTTTCCAAGTTTTAAATTTTAATACATTCGTTTTCGTTACATTTATTCTTAGTTTGTTAATGTCTAACCAATTAGTAATATCTTTTATTGACTCATTTATAATGGTATCATAGTTTTGTGGATTTTTGGTTTCTATGATTACTGTGGTGTCATCCGCAAATAGAACACACTGATGTTTAATTGCTTGTGGTAAATCATTTACATAAATTAAGAATAATAATGGTCCCAAAATACTCCCCTGCGGTACACCGCATCGATTTATGAGTGGTTTAGAATCAAATATTTCTAATGTGTTACTTATCTCATTAAATTTTGTAATTCTGGTTATCTGTTTCCTATTACTTAAATATGATTCGAACCATTTTTGAGCTGAACCTCTGATACCATATCTTTCCATTTTCTCAATCAATATTGGATGATTTACTAGATCAAACGCCTTACTAAGGTCCAGAAGTAGTGCACAAGAAGACGTGTTAGAGTTAATACTATTCATTACTGCTCTTACAAGTGTATATATAGCTAACGTTGTTGATTTATTTTGTTGAAAACCATACTGCTCCTTTGCTAGAATATTAAACTTATTTAAATATTTAAGCACCCTTTTATACATAATTCTCTCGAATACCTTCGACAAGATTGGAGTTAATGCTATAGGTCTATAGTTATTTACATCAGATTTGGAACCTTTTTTGTGTAACGGTTTTATCAACGACATTTTTAACCTATCAGGGAAACATCCTTGTTCAAGAGATAGGTTGATGATATGAGCTAGTGGTGGTGATATATACTGGGATATACATTTGATTAAATCTGTTGAAATACCATCAAACCCGCAGGATTTTGTGTTTTTTAAGTTCCTGATTATCTGACAGACCTCAACATCGTCACTAGGTTCGACAAAAATACTTTTATCATGTGAGGTTACATTGGAACCTTCATAATTAGCAACGTCAACGAAAAATGTATTAAACGTATCAGCAATATCTGAGCCAGACGCAATAATAGTGTTTCTATATTTAAGAACATCCAGACTATCTCTACCTTTTATTTTACCCGTGTTGCGCTTTACAACGTTCCATGTAGCTTTTACTTTATTATGAGACTGAGCTATATGTCTTTGATTACATAGTGCTTGGAGATTATACATACACTTTTTTAATATTTTAGAATAGTTCTTAAACCTATTTTTATTTTCGTTATTTTTATTTAGGTAGTAGATAAATCGCAATGACCGCTTATTTTTGCTACTAGTTTTAATTCCTCTTGTTATCCATTTTGGTTTATTAAAATTGTATCTTTTTTTTACTCTTATACTCGGAAAACATAATTTATAAAATAATATCAACAGGTCATGAAACTTTCCAAATGCTACATTTGTATCTGACGTCTCATAAACTTCACCAAAACTTAAGCAACTAATACAATCTATAAACTTATTTACATTTTCCTTGCTGAGATCATCCCTAATCACATAATAGTACCCTTTAACATCAATAGTTTGCTCAATAATTGTGACTGTTTGGGCTGTATTATGATCTGATAGATAAAAATTATGAGTTTCGCCAAGACAGTCGTCAATATTACCAATAATATTATCTATACATTTATTATGCCTAGTGGGTTCATTTATGTAATGCTGTACACCATAATTAAGCATCAGATCCTTAAAAGTGGTACTATTTTTATCTGATAATAACAAATCTATATTAAAATCTCCACAGATAATTATATTCTGTTTTTTATTGTGAAGTCTCGAAAGAGTCTTTTCAAGACTATCAAAAAATATGTTAACATCGGAGTTTGGGGTTCTGTATATACATATTATTATAAGTTTAAGTTTATTTATCATTACACCACACATTTCAAAGTGTTTTTCAATTGCAAATTCTCTTATAGTATCTAGTCTAGTACTTTCATAATCATTTTTACAAAGAATACAAGTACCTCCGCGACGTTGGTTTTCACGAGAGAAAATATCAGCTAGGTAGAAGCCGTTTATGTTGAGGTACATTTCCTCATGCTTTTTGATGAAGTGTTCACTTAAACATACAACTACAACATTTTTTTTTTGCTCGAGCAGCTCCAGTAGGGCTACGTCCAGGTCCTGCATCTTATTCAGGGCACCCGCAATATTTTGGTGGAATATAGAATACGTAGACTTATTCACGAAAAAAATTATTTACTTTGGGCCGGGTTTTTGTACCAGAATCATTATTTATCGGTTCAACTTGTGACAATTTTTTTATAATGATAGGAAAGTAGTAAGGAATTGTACCTTTTTTTATTTCTACCTTAGACACAGCTTTTTTACCATAAGGATTATTGTTTAATGTTTTCTTAGGGTTAATACAGTTTTGAAGTGTGACATCATTATAAGACAGGAACATTTATTATATACTCTTACATTGATATGATAAATTATTTGCTGTATAACATTATGTGGTTTTGTCTCTATAAATGTACAGTTTTTATAATTTCGAGTTATTAACTTTAGCTGATCATTGAGTTTACGTTCATTAAGATAATTGTTATGGAAAACATTAACTACATACACATTGCATTTATTAAAATAATGTAACGCTATAGACATTTCAGACAAAATTTCAACTGGGTTGGAGTCATTGCTCCCAGTCATTATAACTACGTGGTCTTTTTTTGAAAGTCTATTACAATAATCATTACAACCTGCCAATACATGTTTCGTTGTGGCGTATGGTTTTGTGATAGACTGTACTTTGTAATCATCAGCAAATAATTTATGCTTGTTTTTTAGTAATGTTTGTACAATACCTTGTCCCTGATTATCTGAGAAGATGAATATTTCACCAGTTTCTTTAGGACATTTTCTACTATCGGGTTGACTTAATACAGACTTAGGGCTAGTATTCTTGCTTGAATCCTGGTTCAGAGGAATGGGTATCTTCACGACGTTTTGCATGTCGAGATTAGGTTGACTAATGGTAATTTTCGGATCATCATTACTTCCAGGAAATACTATAGAGGTGTTGTTTCTTGAAGGCTTGGGTGTATGAAAATCTAAGTCAAGATTAAGTTTTCTAGAGGAGATTTTCTGTTTTATAGCCTGACTCCTATTCAGCTTTAATGAGATTGACGATGGTACAGTCTTCTTATGACTAAATGTAGTACACATATTTCTTAGTTTCTCAGATTTTTTAATTTCATTTTGCAACTGTATTTTCATTTCAGAATTTTCCAATGTTAGCTGTTCTATCTCAGTGTGAGCACTTACTAATTCTTCTCGCAATTTATGTATTGAATTTTGTAATTGCGTTATTTCATCAGACTTGATGTGGGTAGATAAGTCCATCATACTTTTAATGCTCAAATTAGATGATGATGAATCAAGTGATTCAAGAGAGGTATTCGAAAGACATTTTCTAAAGCATCGGTTCCTCATTGTTATATTATTTAAATCCATGTTTATCAATAAATTTACTTAAAAAAAGTTGTCAGTGTTAATGTTCCAAATTCTATTAATTTTTTTACAACGTTCCTGGAACGCTGCCTAAAATGGTATAATTAGTCAAAATGTACACCTGGAACGCTCGTGTTGATTCAGTTGGTAGTACTGGGAACCACAGACAGAACTGGAACGCGCTCAATTTCTACGCGTACGGTGAACGGTTGGTAGTGCCGTTTTTTATTTTAAAATTATGGAGGTAAAACAGTAAAGTTTTCACAAGTTTATTAATATACTTTTACTGAACACTTTCTTCCTTATTAGCACTGCACAATTACTAATCCCGTTTGAAAATGTTATTGTTTAATGTCCAGTTTATACCATGAGCACCTAATTAGTCTATTAATTATTTTCAAAACATTAATATCAGCACTGTGCCTCAGAACACTCAAATGTTGTTTTATATTAGTCTAAGTTATTATAGCATCTGCAAACGATATCACTGTATTATTAACTTATTTGGAACGCACTGATACTACTTTTACTGTATTTACACACTTAATTTACATAAAATTATAAGTTTAATTACGGAACCTGTGTTTACATTTGCTGGGGTTGCCAGCATGTTCAATTTTAACTTTGTGTTAATAGTATTACGGTTTAATTTTAAATAGCAAGTATTTATTAAGTACAGCTCATATGGTTTTCAAGTACTCGGCAAGTAAGTTAAGTATTCAGCCAGTTAAAGTACTTTTTATTGGATTTTCGACTTTATCTCAAAGCAATAAAGTATAAAATCTAATAACAAACAGTTCTTTAATGACATAAAGGGGTTGCTAACCATTGTACACTGAACTGAAAAATACGCGCTATGCAAGTACAACTATCTATATAGAGTTGATAATGTATGTTATTATTGATACATACCTCTATCCTCATTACCGGCCATTCCGTCGACTTCATCCATGACCAGCACGTGTTTCTTTGTTACTGCTTGTTTACCGGTCACACCTAAAAGGAGGAGGAACTTTTTATGACTATCATTTCTCGAATATTATTTCTACAAGAAACAACATCAACCAATTAGCATGCATATAGAGACTTAGAGAGTGAGAAAAGTAGACATTCGTGATAATATTTTCATTTATGAAAAATGTTGGAGTCCTTCCTTTTTTTAATGCAATTAATTTTTTGATAGCAGTTTTTGAGAAGTAATGGTGTTATCGATCGACATCGATTGATGTTGCTCGATTGGTGTGTATCTTATACGATCGACGGATACCGATAGATAATCAATCGGTTGCCAGTCGACGTTGATAGGACGGGCTGCGGGTGACAATGGGGAGCTCAAGCAGCTCAATCGACGGTTTACGCATTCTACCATCGATCAACTGATGTGGCAGCACCCTACCTCATCACTACATAGTATAAAACAAAGTCGCTATCCCCCGTCTGTCTGACCCTATGTATGCTTAGATATATAAAACTACGCAACGGATTTTGATGCGGTTTTTTAATAGATAGATGCCGGAATACTGAAACGCTACTCAAATTTAAGACGCGCTTAAGTATAGTTCTGTCTCTACAAATTCTTTGTAAAATGACAAAGATGGCATGATATTTGAGTACAACTTAAAATTGAGTAGCCTTTCAGTATTCAGGGGAGACTGAGAGAGTGATTCTTAACGGTTTCTTTACGGCATTTCACTCAAAAATCACAAAAACAGATCTTCAAGCAACATAGCTGCATACGTGTACTTGACAAGCGGTTCTAACCTCGCACGATAATAACTCTAAGTAAAAAAAATAAGACAAAATACTATATGTAAAACACTTCAGTGTCTATAATCGTTACTTAGGAAGGAAGGTTTTTATGTATAATACATTCATATTGCACCCGTGCGAAGACGGGGCAGATCGCAATAATATATATAACCAAAAATGTTTTACAATAAGAATCTCTACCCGTTCCTTTCTTATAGAACGGCATGTTAATAATATACTAACCATTAGCAAAGCCAGAGAGTGAATTAGTAGTGAGTAGCTGTCCGATCTGTTCCTTGATGAGCGTCTTGTTCCTCGTGTCTGACGCGTTGAACTCCACCATGTCGAAGCCGAGCTCCTTGCACACTAACGCCACTGATGTTGTTTTACCTGTATAAGGTTAAAAAATAATATTAAACAGCTTTTTCTAAGTTTTTTCTTGTCATGTATTTCTTTTCTTTGAGTTTTTATTTATGCACTGTCCCTATTTTGTTCTCTTTTAAGTTTTTTTTTATTATCTTGTATTATTATTATTTTTTGTGTGTCGTCTAGGTGTAGAACAAATGCATTTCTCACTTTCCGCTCGTGGCACTGCCTACGTAGTCAAAAGACAAACATACTCAATCACTCTGTCTCACTGTAGTCTAACATTTTGTATCTCCTATTTTTTTAAAACAAAAGTAAAGTAATAAAAAGGAAGGCAAACACACTGCGTTTCTTTTATAACATAACATCACGGCTTTTATCCCCAAAGGGACACAATGACACCCAGACCCGGAACAACAATTTGTGTATCACACAAAGTGCTGTTCCGTTCGGGAATCGAACCCGCGACACGTTGCACGCAGCCGGTTGCCCAGCCACCGTACCAACCGTGCAGACGTTGAATAGTCGAAAATCCAATAAAAAGTACGTTAACTGGCTGAATAACTTAGCTTACTTGCCGAGTACTTGAAAACTATGTGAGCTGTACTTAATAAATAATTGCTATTCAAAATTAAACCATAACATTATTAACACAAAGTAGCAATTAATATATCAATTTATTCCTTTGTTTCCAGGTGGTCTCCAAGAGTTGATAGCATTAATCAAATCGTCATCAGTGCCAATAATATGCATGTGTAATGACAGACAGAGTCAGAAGATGAGGTCTCTTGTCAACTACTGTTACGATCTGAGGTTCAATAGGCCAAGAGTCGACCAGATTAAGGTAAAACGTCTTTTATCCCCGAAGGGTTAGGCAGAGGTGCACATTATGCCACTGTACAATGTAACACCCAATTTTCACTATTTATGTTATGAGTCCCATGTAATAGGGGGTGAGCCTATTGCCATGTTGGCCAAGTGATCGCAAGTGCGACTACCGGGCAAGAGGTCACGGGTTCTATACCCGGGTCGGGCAAAGCATTACTGGGTTTAAAAAATTCTCAGTAGTAGCACGGAGTCTGGAATTGTGCCCGGTATATGGCAATAGGATCAACCCCTATTACATAGGCCTCATAATATAAATAGTGAAAATTGGGTGTTACATTGTACAGTGGCATAATGTGCACCTCTGCTTACCCCTTCGGGGCTAGAAGGCGTGATATTATGTTATGTCACTATTATCGGCGAAGCGACTGGTAGTAGTCAAATGAGTAAAAAATGGGTCAAGTCTACCTTAGCCTATCCATTCATATGTTAATAATATAGTGTACTCACCGACGCCGGGCGGTCCAGAAAGTAAAGCTGCCTTATAATAACCTCCGTCATCATTCTTAGCCCAGGGACTGGGTTTCGGTAGCTTAGCCTTTCTATTCACATACCATTTCGTCAGCCAATTCATTAACCTAAAACCAACCTTATTTTAGACTTGGTAATGACTAATATTGATTAGCAAAAGCAACATATACATAGGAGCATGCATATCTTTTGAAAGTTGGCAATTTCATTTTAATCCTTAACACCTTGTAATAAGAGCTATACATACTTTTTAACATTGCTAGCGTCGCCATGTTGTCCAATAATTTGTTTGATACTCTGTGGCTTGTATTTCTCCACCCACATATTCGAATTATCTTGTATGGGAGTCACTTCTTTTTTTACATCTGTAAATAGGACAAGTCTTTAGAACAAGAATCAGTAACCGAAATGTATGTACGCGAATAACTCTTAAACTACTGGACTAAATTAGATAATTCTTTTTTGTCGTCTTAACCCCTCGAGCGTCCTTATGAGCACTCGGTGGATCATAAAAAAAAAGGCTCCACGCTGCTTTCTCTTTTATAAAATCTATAATTAATGTTTTGTTTTTATTTTGACTGTATTTGTTTTGTTTCTATTGTAATGGTCCTTGTTTTCGTGTGCCAATGGCCAAATAAATGCATTTTCTTTCTTTCTCCAAATGTCACGTGTGCACCCGTTGGATCATAAGGAACACGGACGCTCGACGGGTTGATTATTATTAGATTTGTAAGATAGATGATTCTATATATTCTTCAGGAAAATCAGTAAACAGTACAAACCTTAGTGAAGCTGGAGAGAGGTGGTAGTTAAAAATATATATATACAAACTTATAAACTCACGCGTTTGTCCCGTAGAGGAAGACCACCACCTAGTGTCTCCTTTACATACTTTTTTAGTTTAAGGGCCGATTTTACAATGCTCAGTTAAGTTATATCATGTCGAAATACTCAAACACTACTCAATTTCAAGCCGTGCTTAAGTATAGTTCTATCTACAAATTCTTTGTAAAATGACAGAGATGGCACGATATTTAAGCACGACTTAAAATTGAGTAACGTTTCAGTATGCCGGCATCAGAGGTATATCTTTGAATATTTCGCAACGCATCCATACTAATAACTTTCAAATGTCAATTTAATTCTACAGTTAAGAAATTAACTGATGATAGAAAAATCGGACCAAATTATTTATTCACACCTTAACAACACTTATTTAATATTTATCTAATTTATAATACAGATAAAGTTCAGACTTTAGTTCTATTTTTAAAAGGAAGTGATTACAGTCTATCTAATAGTGACGCGGATGCGACTTTGGACAAGTTTCAACTTGTAACTGAAACGTAGTAACAAAACAACAAAGGTGTAGTGATTGAATGGAGGGTCGCGAAACAATAAAAGGAACGTACCGGCACAGCGACGTGTTAAAACATGTTGGGAGAGAGACTTCCAATGTTATCTTACTAATATTATAAATGCGAAATGTTTTTTGTGTTGGTGCTAATGACTGCCTCGTTGGCCGAGTGGTCGCAAGTGCGACTGCCGGGCAAAGTATTACTGGGTTTTTTAAAAAAAAATTCGTAGTAGCACGGAGTCTGGAATTGTGCCCGGTATATGGCAATAGGCTCACCCCCTATTACATGGGACTCATAACATAAATAGTGAAAAGTGGGTGTTACATTGTACAGTGGTACCTATAATGTGCACCTCTGCTTACCCCTTCGGGGATAAAAGGCGTGATGTTATGTTATGTTTTTTGTGTGTATGTTTGGATGGATGAATGAAATGACAATGACCAAATTTGTATGGAGCGTGGTGCCTTTTCATTTTTTCGCGGCAGTTGACCGGATGTGGAAAAACTGATGCAAAATAACATTACAAAAAAAAAACTATATGGGGTCTTATATCAAAAACACAGTCTAAACCGAGTTAAATATGTTCAAAGATGTGAAAATAATGCTATATTATACCTGACTAGCAAACCCGGCGAACTCCGTTTCGCCCCTTGGTAGCTTGTTGTAACATTTCGTTTGGTAATTAAAAGATGAGGATTTTTTTTGTTTTATTTTTTATAAACCTAACGGAGCCCGAGACCTTTCCAACGAATGCAAAACCGTGGAAATCGGTTCGTGCGTTCTGGAGGTATAGCGTCAGGAAGGAAAACCAGACTTATTTTTAATATAGTAGATTAGACACGACTTTCAGTAATGAAGAAGAAAAACTAAGAAGAATATCCAAGTAGGTACTTACTGTTTACTTGATTCCTTGCTGTGTTCGAGCTAGAACTTGCTTCAACTTTTTCTGCCTTGATTTTCTTCGGACTAGATATGTCTCGATGTTTACTATCATTACTTTTATCTCTAACTTTAGATTCCGACTTACTCCTGTCAGGACTCTTCAATTTGTCAACATGATTATCTTTCTTATCTTTCGGACTCTTAGATTTTGATTTACTAGGAGTCTTCTCTCGTTTGATTTCTTTCTTGGTTTCTGGTTTACTAGTGTTATCTCGTGATCGGTCCACGATCATTTTTAGGAATTCATCTTCGTTTATAATTTTGATTCCTAGTTCTTGCGCCTTTGCCATTTTCGCTGGGCCAGCGTCTTCGCCTGCGATCACGTGTGTAACCTGTGCCAGAAGAAAGTATACTTTACCAAAGTCATCTTCATCATCAGCTGAACGACATTCATAACTGAACAAAGTGGAATTTGCTATAGTCCCTAAGTATGGCAGGCATATTCAGGACCGGGAATATCTAAGCAGTATTTTTTTTTAAATGTTGCCCTATATTAGGTTTTTTCCTGTGCCGGTGGGTGCGTTTACAAACATACAAGTTCACATACACATGACACCCAGACCCGGAACAACAATCTGTGGATCACACAAAGAGTTGTTCGAGTGCGAGAATCGATCGAACCCACGACACGTTGCGCGGCAGCCAGTTGCCCAACCACCATTTACACTGAAAAATTAATAGATGTTGTTTCCTAACCTTCCAGGTCCACATATTACGATATACCAAGGTCAGAGTTATTTACGTAATCCAATACAAAACCAAACGAAAATATAATTAAAAGTTTCTATTAATTAAATTAATTGTTTTAAATGATTAATTCCCGAGCTTTCCACTCTCTCCATTATAGACCTTCTTCCCGATGTTTAGAGACTATTTTTGTATGAACATATTTTGTGGACTTTTCCTGCTAATAGTTGATAGATTAAATAAATAATACTTACTTTTTTAGAAACCCCGGACTTGACACAGCCTCCATACTTGGTGATGGCCGCAGCTACCTCATCCTTCTCAAACGAGTCCAGTACTCCAGTCAACAAGAACGCACAATCCTTCAAACAATCTGGTTTTCCCTGAAATTATATGAATTTACATTATTTATTAATGTCATAGGTGTAATGTTTGTTTAGAATACTAATAAGAACTCTTTTTCAGTCAAGGAATTGTTGTTAGACATAACATAAAGGCGTGATGTTAGCCTTTTATCCCCGAAGAGAAGGCAGAATTGTACGTTGCGGCAGTTAATGCCTCTGTACAATGTAACACCCACTTTTCACTATTTATGTTACGAGTCCCATGTAATAGGGGGTGAGCCTATTGCCATATACCAAGCACAATTCCAGACTCCATGGTACTACTAAGATTTTTTTTACAAAACCTAGTAATACTTAGCCCAACCCGGGAATCGAACCCGAAACTTCTTGCCCGGCAGTCGCACTTGCTCGGGGTCGATACCCGTCTTGCCCAACCCCGAGACCCCGACCCGGGTATCGAACAGACAGTGTTGTTAGACTAATATAGATATAGCTCCCATAGGTAGTGAATGAATCTCTTATGTTATTTATAAGGAATGCATAACCAACCGACTTGAAACATGTCATAAATGCTTTGCCCGACCCGGGAATCGATACTTGAAACTTGAAACGTGTATAAAATTATTGTGTTTAGTACACAAGGAATGAACTCTTAATTTCAATAAAATGGTTACCTCAGGGATTTCTTTAGCTCCTAAATGCTTTGGTCCAGATCTGTTCAAATAATTTTTGTATAAAGCAGCTGAATGCATTCGCCTTTCGTGTCTTTCTTCATCTGTTAGGGCTGAAATATAAAAAAATAAAATAAGTAAATAATTTTTTTTTTTAAACTTTGCCCCACATAGGATTTTCTCCTGTGTCGTGGGTGCGTTTACAAACATACAAGTTCACATACACAATGACACCCAGACCCGAAATAACAATTTGTGTATCACACAAAGTGTTGTCCCATGCGGGAATCGAACCCGCGACACGTTGCACGGCAGCCGGTTACCCAGCCACCGCACCAACCGTGCAGTCAAAAATTGAAATCATAAAAAAGGCTGACTAGAGGTTAAGAGTTTGTGAATTATTACATCTATATTCCTCTGAATGTACATATTTTAAACTAAATTAAATAAGATTTGAATTTCATTATGCAAAAGATTAACCATGAAGTATTTCGTGAGACATACTAATTAATTTAATTACAAGGTTTTCGGTTTACTCACGTAACTGTTTGACGAGGAACTCGACTAGTTTCAAGCCATGATAGAGGCTCATATTCATGAGCCGCGATTCCGCGAGACGCGACGCGGCAACTGTCGCGCTGCTACTAGTCGTTAGTTACGTGAGAAAGCCGAAAACATAGTAATTAATGAAGTGTATGATGGTTATTCTTTTTGAAATACAAAGTACGATTTCATCAGTTTAAAGTTTGAAGTACAATAGATACAGGCGAGAGCAGGGAGGGGATTGATTTTTGATGAAAAATAAAATATTTAAAAATAATCTAACAGCAGAGGCCTTAGTACGAGTTTTTTACGTTTAAAGTAACCGAAACGAGACTGCGTGCAGCGCTCTGATTGGCCGGCCCCAATGAATCAACCAATCAGAGCCACCGACGCGGTCTTACTTCGATTATTTTTAACGTAACCCAAAAATTAAAAAAAAGGTTACAACTAAAAAGCAAAAAGTAACTATTATTAGTACTGATAGGTTACCCACCCACTGATAGACCATTAGAAGATAGATAAGATAGCCTAAGTTCCAAACAAAATTATTAATTAAAACCTTTATAGATATCAAATACTCATCTGTTAACAATTTTGTGATCATTAAGTTACATCGTTTTGATATAGATGGTGTAATTGGTGAACATATGTACAAAAAAAAAACTAAATAATAATTCGAGCCCAGTACCTCCTCCTTTTTTGAAGTCGGTAAAAACAAACTCGTACTAAGCTCTCAGTAGGCAACATTCGTCTACTCAAACCAACTTTACCTGATTCATTCAAACTCTTATTCATATTCCGTTTCCTACTAGCCTCCATACTTTCATCCATAACAGAGGAATTCCCATCATATTTATGCTTGCTCTCTTTCTCCTGTTCGTCAATCTTCTTCTTCTTACTGCCATGATCACTGCTATCACCATCAATAAACTCTGCAAACTTTCTCTTACTATTTTCAATTTTAGATTTTTTAGTTTCACTGTCATTTGAGTGTGATGTACTTTGGTTTGGTTTCTTGTCGTCTTTTGTGTGTTTCTTTGCTTTTCCATCATCAGATTTATGTCTGCTTTCATCATTTTTATGTCTGCTTTCTTTGCTTTCATTAGATTTGTGCTTACTCTCTTTGCTTTCATCAGTTTGATGCTTACTCTCTTTGCTTTCATCAGTTTTATGCTTACTCTCTTTACTTTCATCGGATTTAGCTTTGTCACCCTTGCTTGATTTATGTTCGTCTTTCTTTGTTTCTGCAGGGCTTTTATGTTTCTTTTCATGTGATGTTTTAGTTTCTTTATGTGATTCTTCTGTTGATTTCGATGGAGTCACCTTCTCGGCGCTAGATTTTGGTTTCTCATCATTAGTTACTTTGTCATTATTTATGTTCGCTTCTAACTCTGCATTGTCTATTTCGAGTAAACTTTTTTCAAATTCATCGTCAGAGTGTATGCCTAGTTCAGTTTTTTTCTTTTTCTTTACTAATGGTTCCGTGCGCTTTATAGGGTCATTTCCAAACATATCTATCACCTTGACCTCCTTGAGTGCGGGTTTAGGTGATTTACTCTTATTCTTACTTGAAGTTTGACCTGCTTTTGCAGAACTAGCATCATTATTTTTCTTTTTTTTAGATGAGAATATTTCCTCGTCAGAATCATCATCTATCACACGCCTCTTCTTTGATTCTTTCTTCTGTAGGAATGAGAATTTGTTAATCAGTTTTATGTTATAAAGATAACAAAAGATGTAACAAAACTATGTCTTTTTAGATACTTACTTTATTTTTAATTATTTGTACATCTGGAGACTCTGGAATAACATCGTCATCATCGTCAATAGTAACAGCAGGTTTCGGCGGCTTTTTAGGTTGAAAAAACGATCTTATATCCTGGAAACAATGCTCTCTCATTGCAAGTGCAATTGGTTTTCTTAAGGCGCTAATATTATCGAATTAGAAAAGTCTGCTTAATTCTTAACTTATTAGATAATTTAATATGATATTAGTATCATATTAAATTATACATTTAGTATCTATATAGTCTTAATAATATGTTAGCCAATCAGGGTTCTAATAATTTAGCAGTTTAATTGTTGTGTTTGTTATAAGTACCTCCAAATACCTAATACTGGCTCTTAGTAAGGTTAAAATATAGAAACACAATGTGAAATATAATATCTCAAATATTGAGCGCAATATTTCATACAACAACCGCTGAGTAAATATATCATTTAGTACTTACTCTAGACATATTGAAGTAAAATATAATGGATTTAAGATGAAGACACTGTTCTCATGATTTGCTGAAAATATTTATAAGACAATTTTGCGCGAAGTATACGATATTTGTAAGAAAATTTAACGAACACTTCGCCGCGAAATGCACCATTTGTCAATCAACAATTTAAGTACTTGACACTGACATTGACGTCTACTGAGTTGCCAACTGTGAAAAAAATTTAAACTGGTAATACAAGTAACAAAAAAAGGTGGCAAATCCATGGTTGTACAGTACCTACTTAGTTCCTTTTCCTATCCGTCCTTCCTTTTTGTTTACTAACGAAGGAAACCTATGGAACCTAAGGAAATCCATGGATTTCCTTTGTCTCAACGTTCTCGTACACATTCTTCGCTTAGTATAGCTTCATGCTGTACTTAATAGTTTGGTATGATTGTGCTTTATTGGATGAGTTGAGTACCCACCCACCATATGCCAAGTTACGGAGCCGCCGAGAACTTAACGGGTTGCTGGGCTCAGTGGGGTGAATTTTAGTCAGTAAGAGTCTAACACTCCCTTTTGCATCCCTCGGGCGGAAGAAATTATTGGATTATTTTAGCCCCTTCAAAAAATCCTATGCCAGGTTCGACATGTTCGGGTATGTCATTTCGGTCACGAAATGTGTTAAATACCCTAAGAGCGCTAGTAATAACTTCACCCTCTAAATACTTATAATCGTAACTGGTGCGACGTGCGTGTTACATTGAACATGGGAACTGTGCATGGATGCTCCTCTGTCTACCCCTTTCAAAATTAAATTACCTCTTAGAGCTACATCAAGTTTTTTATTTGGGTACAAAATCTAAAAAAGGATGAAAATATAAGACATGAACCTGTTACAATATAATCTTATTAAAATCTCATATACATCTTAAATATCCAACAGTCTTATATAATAATACTAACTAAACGTCCTACAAATAAATACCTATCAACGTAAATTATGTCACAAGGAATTGCTACCGCCGGGGCGGAGGTGCTGTGAAGGAATTTCCGTCCACCTCTGTCCCAGTAGCGGACTGCATCATATCTCTGCGAGAGTGCCTAGATATCACGTGCCGTGCCCACGCTAAATCTCGGGAACTTCTCGATCTTGCACTTCGAGACTTAGAACTAGTTGAACTAACAGTTTTCCCCGAGGTACTACTGCTGGTCGCAGACCATCCAGTATCGCTTAGTAGTTTCTCTGGACAGTAGGTAACATCTGAACGTGTCAGGGTGCTGGTGGAATACATCGGTGCTGAAGACTTTTTATCGGTTGCGCTTATTTTCTCAATCGTCAACTGTGCAACAGATGTTTCTAGTTTTGGTGGACTTTTCGGTCTATCTCCTGTATTTTTGGTTACATCAGCAATAGCCATACGTTTGTCTTCACGACGTTCTTCTTCGCTTTCCACCTTGGATGGCGATGACCGCGGCTCTTCAGTTTCTTCATTGTCACTAATTATTACGGCCATGAGCTTCTCTGTATTTTCATTTAAATCGTACACTTTCTGAGTACGCATAGATCCTACAGAAGACGATTTGCTCCTGGAAGACACACGTTTCATGCGTTTATTCTCACTAAAATAGATTGCGCTTTGCCGTGGTAGTACGGATGGGAAGTTACTATCTACATTTGTATATGCAATATCTCTTGAAAAACATTTTTTGGATTTTCCTTTGCAACCACACGCGTTCGGCTCTCCAAACAAATAGTTATACAAAATTTGCAAAAGGCATATTGTCAGTGCAGTCAAAAATACTAAACTGATATATAGTTTAGGGGTCCAGTCTGCGTTTACATAGATGTAGGACTGTGTGAGTGTTTTCCATGGATTCCAGTGAGTTACGCCTGCATCTTGGTATTCAAAAAGATTACGTCTTGACAAACCTTTTCCGTAGTTTTGTACGGCGGCTGCTATTCTGAGAATTCCGCCGTAGGCCGCGTACAACTTTTCGTCCATTAAATGTGGTGCCACGTCCCGTTTCATCCAGTGCCAGAGTTCACTGTTCAAATTAACGAAGTCAGAGTGCCGACAGTTTGCTGGTGAGCTGTGCAGTATACACCTCGACGCGGTCGTATAGTATTTCAAAAGAATGTTCTCCGAGCTGGGAGATGTCAAGCTGACCAGTCCATCGGATCTGAAAGGTAGGGCGATAGCTGACGGTTGATTATCGTCATCCAACTTGGGAGCTGGTAAATGTATACAATTATTTGAGTCTCTTCTTGTTACCAAGCAGGAGCAAGGGTCTAAGAGTTTCCCAGATCCGATAAGAATTTTAGCCACGGTTAGATTCGACCACTGAGGCACTCGTTCAGGGCGTCTCCAGCCCAAGCCTTGGGTATTCATCTTAACTTTGATGTTATCATAAAAATCGTGAATTTCCCGAGCATTTTTGTAAGGGATATAGCCGGCATAGTAACTGAATCTGACAGTGGGTAGGATTTCACTCTTGAGATGTGCACCTATAGTGTCAGATAAAGCTTCTTTCAGTATTGTGGCAGTTTTGAAATCCCCTTCATTTTGCACCGTGTGCAGTGCTGTTCTGAAGTACTTCAGAAGACGTTTGATGTATTGACTGTCGACCCTATCCGGGCTCAGTTGCGGTGGAATCAGTTGCTCAAAATGTTTCCGTGCCCTCAGCTTGGCTATATCATCTTCTGTCCAACAGCTAGATCGAGGTCTTCCAGTAGTAAATAATGCAGTCCCCGCATTTTTATTGCTAACGTAAGCTATGTTAGAAAATATAACAACCATAAGAAATAACATTGAATTTAAAATGTGTTAATAAAAATCTTCATGTTCATTAGTTAAGTTAATGACAGTATTATGTCAAAATTGACAAAATTAGTGCAAAGAAAAAGTGAAATCAGTTATGGCGGTACTTTATGGTTCGCTTTTTCTTCTTAAAACTCCTTTTGAAATCGTCAATCTATTTATTTTCGTCGTGCTATTAAGGACCTTGAAATTTTAACGTCCCTGCGTTGTATTGTACGCTGCTATAAGTGGGTTTTAAGTTACTACCTCCTACGTAGATTGCTCGACTTAAACATTAATGATTTAGGTGTATCAATATAAAAAAAACACTCAATTTGTCATATAAAATATTTAATTTTCCGAACAATATTTCTATGATTAACATACTGCCATAGCGCACCAACGCTTAACAATACTTACATCTATACAATAATATATCTTTAACCAATAAATACTATATATAATTATCACATTTAACACAATTTGTACCTTGTTCGAAAGTATGTGATAAAGAGAAGCATTGGCGAAAAAGTATTATGGAGTGGACTACACTTTGATACTTGACAAGCGAATCTACTCTTTATTAAAGCTTCTGATAAAACACAAAATTTCAATTAATAGCAGCCAAAACGATAATAAACGTCACCTAAGACGAAAATTAATAATAAAAAAATATTTTTGAAAAAAAAAAATGTTAATCTACTATGTCTATTGAATTTATGTCTTGTAAAAACGAGATTCAATTAAGGTTTCCAAGCCATTAGGGGCGCTAGTGTAGTTTAAGGTCTATTTAACAAGTCAGTGAACTTGTGACAGCTATGTTTATTGGCCTATAGGACACATGCCTCACTAGCGCAGTCTCGTGAGTGTAAAATAGAAACTTTCATTCAATAAGCGACTAGAGGTCTAACTAAACTTGAAACACCAGAAGAGGGATAACGAATGCGTTGTTGACTGCACGGTTGGTGCGGTGACTGGGCAACCGGCTGTCGTGCAACGTGTCGCGGGTTCGATTCCCGCACGGAACAACACTTTGTGGGATCCCCAAATTGTTGTTTCGGGTCTGGGTGTCATGTGTATGTGAACTTGTATGTTTGTAAACGCACCTACGACAAAGGAGATAATCCTAGTGCGGGGCAAAGTTTTTATTAAAAATTAAAAAAAAAAATTATTTGGTTTTAAAAACGTATCGTAAGTATAATGAAATAATAAATCTACACTTAATTTTGTGTCTGTCTAATAAAAATAGCTAAGTAGTAAAATTACTTTCCTTTTTTGGCCAGTTTCTGCAAAGCCAACAAAGGTTGTGATGGTTTAAATAAATAATGATGATGTGTCGATAAAAAAAACAAACCCAAATAATTTCCCGCCAATATCAACGTCAAATAAATAACTATGGTCTATGGAATTGCGACTATACTTTATCTAGCTCGTAAAAATAGTCAATCACAGCGTTCTTATTTGAAAACGAAATATACAGAAATACATTATAACAAAACTAAATTATTAAAAAATTACTAATCAGAAACAAAAATATAGATAAAATAAATATTAAAAAAATAAAATAAAGTAACGTCGACAGTCGAATTTAATAAAAGGTCAATTTGGGAGTCGTCTTGTAGCATTAAGCATTGACATTTTGTGATAGGTAGACGATTAATATGAGAGGACTCTTAAATTGACGTTTTAAATTAAACCTTGTTTACATATAAATAAGAACACTTTTATGGCCAAAATTAATAAACGATCTTCTCGAACGAATCCAAAATCTCTGGATCGATCACAAATTCTATATCATCATCATCATCGGCCTGTGTTTCTCCATTGCTGGACACTGCAGATCTCTGCAATAGCACGCCACTGAGCTCGATCTTTAGCTCTTGGCCTCCAATGACCTACGGATATCGTCGATCCCCTAACTGGAGGACGCCCTACAATACATTTGCCTAAGCACGGTGTCCACTCTAGAACACATCAAAATGTCACCGCACACCTAACAAGCACGGTAGCGCATTTATCAAGGATGGCTATAGGCTATAAAACATCACGCTACAACCAATAGGAGCTGAGCAGAGCGTGTGAAACCGCGCGGAAGTAGCTAGTGTTAATATAAAAAAGCTGTAAGCGCGCTAACAACCTTTTTGTATTGTTTACAAAGCAAAAAACTCCGTGCCGGAGTCATGCCGAAGCCATGCTTGTTAAGACCTTAACGGTTATCGGTTTTTCGACAAATGTGACTGACCCACTGCCACTTCAGCTAACTAATCCTTTGGGCTATGTGAATAACTTTGGTTTTTCTGTCCGATGGTCGGATCACTTTAATTCTATATAGGTATAATGTCAAAAATCGAACTTGGAAAGTATTTTGGCTTGATGTATTGCAATCCAAAGATTTTGAAGCCGTTTATTCTTTTCGACCGT